AGCGGCTTAGAGTTGTCCAGGAGCCTTTGCGCGTTTTGGAATTGTCGCCATGTGAACATAGTAGAAATTGATCCGGTTTTCTGGCTTCTATTCACAGGAGATGTTCTAATTTCCTCTCCCGCAATACTTGCATGGGATTCAGAAGGCATCGGGAGCAGTTCTTTCAGCAAAGCCGTTGCTTTTGAACCCCTAACATGCCCTAATACCCGAAACCCCAACTCCCGAACACTGAACTCTGAATCCGAAATCCCAAACCCTAAGCCCTAATTCCCAAACCCCAAGCCCTAAACCCTAAACCCCAAACCATCACTCAACAGGAGCTTTGCGCCACGACCAGCCCTGCAAGCTTTCGCGGAGCGAAGGCGGAAGCACCAACGGTTCCATCAAAGATAATACAAAGGTCCCGTATACAGTCTAGGAACGGGGTTCCTTTACGGCTACAACGAGGAACCCTTAGTCTAACCTTTCCTTCAAGTCTAGACTAAGGGCTCTTTTAGATCAGCAATAAACCCTAAACCCCAAACTCCAAACCCTAAACCCTAAACCCTAAGCCCTGAACCCTAAACCCTAAACCTTCTAAGCCCTAAGCCCTAAGCCCCTAAACCCCCAACGCCCTAAAGCCTTACAAGCAGGTGCCCACAGCAGCAAAGCTCTGGTGGCCGGGTCTGGCACAGGCCCAGATTCCTAGCGACGGGCTCTTCTGGTCTTCTTTTGGCTTTGGGGTTTAGGGATTAGGGTTTAGGGATTCGGGTTTAGGGTTTAGGGATTAGGGCTTCGGGTTCAGGGATTAGGGTTTAGGGATCAGGGTTTTTTTGTTCTTTTGGTTTCAGATTTCGGTGTAGCGTTGGGTTTAGGGATTAGGGTCTAGGGTTTCGTAGAGCTGGCGGTTCTTTGGGAGAGTGTTTGATGGTTTTTTGACAGGGCTGGTTCGCCGCTGAAGGTTTCGGATGCTTATAATTTCGGGTTCATAGGCTGTTGGGGCCAGGGTCTTGAGGCTTCGAAGGGCTTCGTGCCGTTTTCAAGAAGCTTAGGGGTACTTAGAAATGATTTTTAATTGTTGGTAATTATAATCCCCAAGAAACAGCTAAAACTATAAGTACTGCTAGGGTTCTAAGTTCAGTATAGGAAGAAGTGTCGGGCCTAGGCACGCCGTAAAACTTTAAGCCCGAAGCCCGTGTGGCGGCAGGTCAGGCCTGCTAGTTTCGGGTGGGAGGTACGAGGCTTGATCAGAAGTGTATGGTGATTGAGACGGTTTAGGGTTTAGAATTTAGGGTTCAGGTCGTCGGTATGAAACAAGACCTTCCACCGCTAAACCCTAAACTTAACCTTAGAGCCTGAACCCTAAACCAGAATTTGCAACCTCAGCCCGTTCGCCGCGGAATTTCTGAGCCTCTGCACTGAACGCGCTACAGTTAAGTTAAGGCCTCCGCACTAAACCTTAAACTAATCCTCTTGGTAGCGCTTTGGGACATGTTTTGTTTTCTCTTATTGGGTTAAGAGGATCTTATCTACACACCCTGAAGCCCTGAAGCATGCTGAAGTCTTCAATGCAAGACTCAAGGCCCTCAGCCCCGGGTCCCAGACCCCCCCTCAAACCCTGAAGGCTTAAAACTCAACCTTGAGGTCCCTCATTGAGGCCCAAGCCCTAAACCCCTGCAGAACCCCTCTGGAGCTGTTGGAAACCCTAAACCCTGATCACTATAGTAACCCCGAGCCCCAAAGGTGGAACACCCTCCGCCGCCCCAGGCTTTAGATGGAGCCGCGCAAGAGAGCAGCGAGCTGGGAGCTTAAGAATTCGAAACAGCTCGTAGTCGTAGTGAGTATGTAAGATTTTACGGTGTTGTAAAGGGTCTCGCGAGGGTCTAACTTCTAAGGATCACCGCCGGAAAGCCCCGCAACCATACTTGCGGGCCGTTTGTATGAGAGTTCCAGATGTTCTCATTGTGGCTTTAGATGGTTTTACAGGGATTTCGGGGTTTCACAAAAGCGCGTTTAGGGGTCTTACAGGCTTCATGGCGGTTGTATCTAGGGTTTCATGGGTCTCAGGAGAGTTGTTTCATAAGGCTGGACGGGTTTGGTCGGGTGGTAGCCTGGTTTGAGAGTTGCCGGGTGTCCTTATGGTCAGGATCTCGTTGCATGCGGATCGGAGATACGGGATTTGGGAAGTTCGGGTTTTCGGGTTTAGGGTGTGCAGGGTTGAGGGCTTAGGGTTTGGGGTTCAGGGTTGTTTGGGGATTCTGAAGTTAAGTCTCGAGGCCTCAGGGGGCAGGGGGCTAGGAGCTTGGCAGTTCCCCCTTCTTTCGGTGCTGAGCAAAGATGGAAGGAGTCGAGAGTTCGTGGGTTTTTGCAGAGGCATGCTTCCTTGGAGCACGAACCCAAGGGTTTATAAGGTTTAGTAGGGTTTAGGGTACGTTGTTGTGGCTGCTGCGTTCTTACCACCGCCACTGCCGCTGCCACCATCCGCAGCTCTGCTCACTATCTTGTGAGCACGGCGAGTCGGATTTTCGGTTTCGTCGTTTTGGGGTTGAGATTTACTCGCCTCAATGGATCCCGGGCTCAGGGTTTCATGCTTTGGCTGCGGCTCCTCACGGCTAGTTGTGATTTCTCCTTCGATGCTTATTCAGGAATTAAACGTAAGCCCTTAACCTTGCAGTCTCAACCCTGTATAGGCTTACGTGCACCAGTGATCCCTAGGACCTAGGATGCCCCTGAACCCTAAGCCTCTAAGCCCCAAAACCCTAATGCCCTAAACTCTCAAACCTCAAAACCCAAGACCCTAAACCCCTAAACCCCTTAATGAACCCCTAAGCCTCAAAACGGCAAGACCTTCAACAGTCCTTCGATCGAGTCTCGCACTAAGGCGTTTGCAGACCACAGCTCGAAGCCTGGACTTGCTTGCAGGTGTTGGGCCGACTGTAGCTACTGCACTATAGGGGCCTTAATGATTACCTAGAGGATTTTTAGGGGTTCCTTTTTATATAGATATGGTATGAAATATCCCCAAATCCTGTTGCAATTATTCAGGGTCTATTTGAGGTAACTGGAATGGGGTCTTTTTTGGATTCGAAGGGTCATACAAGGGTTTCTGCAAGAGTTGCAGGGTTATAGACTGCAGGGGACTTGGAAGCTAGAAAAGGGTCCTAGAAGGGATAGGGGCTCCTGTAAGGGTTACTGCAAGGGTTCTGGAGTTACCCTAAACCCTAAACCCTAAACCCTAAACCCTAAACCCTAAACCCTAAACCCTAACCCCCTAAACCCCCAATCCCGAACATTTGTGTCCGGAGTCATCGGCTTCCCTGAATCCGAACCCCCAAGGCCCAAAATTCTATAATTCTATAATTCTATGATTCTATAATTCTATTATTCTATAATTCTATAAATCTATAATTCTATAAATCTATAATTCTATTATTCTATAATTCTATAATTCTATTATTCTATAATTCTATAAATCTATAATTCTATAATTCTATAATTCTATTATTCTATAATTCTATAAATCTATAATTCTATAATTCTATAATTCTATACCCGAAATCCCTTTATGGCTGCTGCAGGACTGCTTAGGGGTTCAGGCTTTCGGATGCAGGTACATGGACTCGCGCCAGGACGCCAAGCAACATTTTTTCTTTCTGTACCTAGACCCTCCATCTACCCTCTATTAGACCCTAAATGCCCCTTATTTTGGGACCATATACCCCTCTTTGAGGGTACAAGGAGGGTCCTGGTATTCAGATTCAGTTCTTAGGTTTTGTTTTGTCTGTTTTTTCAGGGTGTCTGCCTTCAGTCTGGCCCCTGATCAGTCCACCCCCCACATCTCTAAATCTATGGGCAAGCGGGTGGCCGCAACAGTACAAGACCACCCCAGGCTCCAAACTCGTACTTGAAGGGTTGAGGGCGGGCAGGGGTTTCGGGTTGCAGCATTTACAGTTGAGCGTTGAGGCTCTGACCTTTGGCCTTTTGACAGTCAAGGTTCCTTTGATGCTCTTCCGTTCTCTTAGGAGTGCTTAGAAATATTTCTTAACTTGTGGTTATTATTAATCCCTAAGAAACAGCTAAAAATTTAATTTTTGCTAGGGTTCTAAAGTTCAGTGTAGTTCTGTTGTTGCTTAATTACCTCAGTCTGTTGTGCTTACAGCCTTCATCCCGGCAAAGAAAGGAAAGAAGCCAAGACCTGTAACCCTAATCCTGGCATTTCGGTTCTTTTGGTTCGTGTGGCTTCAGGACTGCGGTCCAATAAACACGCTTCAAAACCTGTATAACAAGCTCTGCCAGATAATGATGAATGCCTGTACAATTCCTATGTCTACATGTGGAAACAGACGTGCACTTATGCATGTATACATGCACACTGCAGAATGTATGATGTGTATATGTCATGTATATATATATATATTTATACATGTGTGTATATATATACACATATTTTATGTTTGTCAACGAAGAAATATGTAGCAACACGCGTGTATGCAGAGGTAAAGCATTACATGAACAAGCGAGTCGCAAATAGACAGGCACGCAGGCGCAGGACCGCCGGACAGACGGATAGGTAGATAGATAGACGGATGGATCGCTGGATCGTCGGCTTGCTGCCGTCGCTCCCGACCTCGGGTTCACATTGCAGGTGCTCACCGAACAATGACTATTCGATTCTAATAAGCTGCTATGAGCTAACTCCCAACACCCCAACCTTACATGGGCCCAAAGCCTTCGTAGCCCAACGGCCTCAGCCGTCGCCCCCCCCGCCTCAAGCTGACCCCATAGTGCCCTCGAGGCCTTGACCTCAACTTCGGCATCTTACGCACAGCACACTCCTAAGCCCAAAGGCTCCATGTACCCATATAGTAAGTACTTAGGCCTTAAAGGGGTCCCTATATAGGTACTTTAAGGCGGAGCCTTAGGGAAGCCTCCATACCCGACTCCTGCATCAACCCGCAGCCAGAATTAGTTGGTGCTCCTTTTTCTTCAACGGGGGGAGCCATGGAGCTTCCGCTGATCCTATGAAGGGCCGGCCAATAACCATCAGCTTAGACTCAGGCCATCCACCCTGCGTGTTTTTTGCTAGGGTTTAGGGTTTAGGGTTTTGGGGCACGACTGCGCCCAAGGTGTAGTTCCTGCCGAGGGTGGAGCTGCGGGCTTGATGGGTACAGTAAGGGGAGATTGTAACTATCCTCAGCTGTTCCGCGGTGAAGGTGCATCAGGATCTGGGGATTTGCTTCGATGCGAGGTCAGAAACCAGGGTCTCGATGTCGGATCTGAATAGTTAACGAATATTCGGGGTCTCTATCTGAAGCTCTCACAATCCTACGCGCAATGTGCAAGACTGCACCATGCCGGCCAAGACGACTGACTCGAGGATTGTTCGAGGTAGTCATGCTGTCTACAAGTCGGAATCCTGAAGCACCGGTTAGTGGGGATGCTTCTTTTCATATGAGCAGAGATTTTTGTGTACAACGCATCTTTTCACATGAAGGGCTCTCACGGCTTCCAGGGTAGAGCAGATTAGTGGGGTTTTTGAGTATTCACAACTGGGGCACCAGTGAAGCCGGATGCCTCGACCAAATAGCAGTCTCAACCCAACCTCCATGCACATGAAACCCAGTTTACGGAAGCCAGCCCCAGAGACGAAAGCCACTAGAAGAAGTGAGCTCTAGTCGTTGAGCCCTAAGCCCTTAACCCATATGCCCGAAACCGTAAGCTTAGATAAGCCCTCAAACCCCAAACCCTAAATTCCCCCAAAGGGGACAAGGAGGGACCCTTACCCTATAATGGGCTATATAATGGGTATATATTCGCTATATTAAGGGTATATACCTAGGGGTCCTTATTAAGGGTCCCCTTTTACCCTTGGATTCCCTAAACCCTAAACCCTAAACTTCCCTAAACTCCCCAAGCCCTTTGATAGACCCGAAGCCGAAGTTGCAGGCAGTCCTGCGACGCGGTCCTTCGAGAAAGAGAGCCAAGATGGTACCAGCCCGGCTATACCAATACCAGATAGCCCCAGGCCGCCGACTTCTGGGTAAGGTTCGGATTTTTTTTTTTAAGTGGGGCTTTAGGGTTTTGTACTTCTGGGTAGGGTTCAGGTTTCTTTTCAGGCGGGCTTTGGGGGTTTTCTAGTCTTTTGTGATGTCGTTTGGCTTTTGAACGGTTTGTTGGGAATTTTGGTTGTAGCAGGGTCAAGATTTCAGGGCTTAGGGCTGCTGGCTTGAGGGTACTCAGGGTGTTGTCCATCAGCGCTAGGGTGACATCCGGTTGTTGTGCTGTTGTGTGGGGCTTTAAAGTCCTCGCTAGTGGGTTTAGTCAGGGTAGAAGCACTGTTTGCCAAATAGCCTAATTCCGGAAGTGCTTCCTGGTCAAGACGGAGGACACAGCCTTATGCCTTCTTCCAGCGGAAGACCACCCCAGAGCCACATCCCAAGACCGCCCCAACAGAGCTACTCCTTATTGCATTGCAGAGACCCATCCGTTTCACAGGCAGGTTGGGGAATGAGGGCCGCCTTAAACCCTAAACCCGAAACCCAAATCCTAAACCCGTAACCCCGAAACCCGAAACCCGAAACCCCTAGCCCTACAAAATCTTAAAGACTCTTTCGGAATGGCTCAGAAACGGATCTTCCCTCCCAGAGCCACAGGAGCGAGCGCAGTGGCAGCGATGTCATAAGCGTTGCTCCGAGCACACCAGACAGTCGGAGCCTTGAGGGGTTGGAGGCTTTAGGGTTTACTCTTTAGCTCTTTAGGGTTTAGGGTATTCAGATTAGGGCTTACTTTTAAAGGTTTGGGGCTTTGGGCTTACTGGTCGCTGTTTGGGGTTGTAGGATTGTAGGGTTTGCTGTTCACTGTTTGGGAGTTTAGGGGTTGACTGTTTGAGGGTTTAGGGTTTGGGTAGTCACCTCAATCCGACTATACACTATAGGCTATAGGCCATAGACTATGTACTGTGTACTATGTACTATACACTCTACTACCACATACTACATACTTTATACAATATACAAATACTGTGTACTGTACATAAATAGGTAAATATATATATATATATATATATATATATATATATACATACACACTATATATGGTGTGCTAGGTGTTATATACTATTTGCTTTACCGTATGCCATGTACTATGCTGTTTAATGGATTGAGGTGACCACCCAAACCCTAAACCCTCAAGCAGTCAACCTTAAACTCCCAACCATTATGAGCCCTCAGCCTCTGAAGACGAAAGTTTCCAGATACCTGACTCCTAAACCCTAAACCCTAAACCCTAAACCCTAAACCCTAAACCCTAAACCCTAAACCCTAAACCCTAAACCCTAAACCCAATAGGGTTCAGGGAGTAGGTTCCTTACTAGAACAAGCTGGGTTCCATTTCGAGGTTTGTGGCACGTGTGCTTGCGGTTTGGGCGCATCGTTGAGCGTAGTCCTTAGAGTCTTAGAGTACAGCACACTTTCTTAATTTGTAGCACTTTCTTGCAGCCCTTTCAACTCTTACCTCGTGGTGTACACTCAGCATCCGTAGATTTCGAGACTCTAGGCCCCCAGACTCATGCAACGTCAACAGGGAGGGGATTAGGGTTTAGTTGCATGCAATCTGTGGGATGGACCAAGAACCTACTGCATTGACTTACTGCGGAACTCCTTGGCCCTTAACCCTACACCCTCGTCGTTTTGGGTGCAGGGCTGTATGTCCAAAATTTAAAATCCACCTCGGGGCCCAAGTTCGAGCCTCTAAGCAGGCTACAAGACTTTCCAAGGGTGGGATGAAGCCTGATGGGGCGTTGGCAAATACGGGTCCTGTTTTAAAGGGAGCCCCCTAAGCCCTAAACTCTAGTAAACCCTAAACTCCTAAACCGTAGACTCTATAGACCTTACAAGCTGCCCCCACCCTGTAATAGTGACTATAAGGATTATATTGGGCCCCATTATATTCCTATTAAACCACTATTGCAGGGTGGGGGCAGCTTCTAATCTCGAGCCTAAACCCCAAATCCCAAGGCAGCTCACGATACCTGCAGTCCGAGCGAAGCTCGGGCAGCCAGCTCGACTTGTCGTCGGACTCCCAGCTGAGGGTTTGGGGTCTGGGTGTTTTAGGGTTTTAAGTTTAGGGGCTGGGGGCTTGGAGGTTTTAGGGTCTTTATAGGGTTTAGGGTTTGGGGTCTAGGGGTTTACATTTAGTAAAGCGCTCTGAGCTCCACTGCCCGTCAACCTGAGACCTTTATCCAGGCCCCGTGCAGGACGGAGGTTATGGAGCCCTTCTATTTCACCTTTTGTAAGGGGTCTGCAAGGGTGTGGCAGGATTTTTGTTTTTTGCTTTTTTTGAGAGGTCTTCTGAGAGGGTTCTATAGGATTTTTTATACGTCAGGTTTCTATAGCCTCCAACCAAGGATCGGTTAAGGCTGTAGGGTTTGGCTTTGTAGGGCTCAGGGGGTTAGGGTTTAGGTTTAGGGCTCATGGAGGAGCTGTGTTGCTTACAGAGTATCTCAGATAGGATGCCATTTCGGAGTTTTCGGGGCTGGATTTCATTCCCATGTTTCGAGGCTCCAGGTTTTGCAAACTGCCAGAAGGGATGACTCAAAGCATGCGAGGGCTTAGCCTAAACCCAAAACCCTGAACTTCTGCAGGAAAAGGGCCCCAACACACTTTAAAAAAAGATGCCCTAAACCCTTGGTCAGTAGTTTACAAGCAGGGTTGAGAAGCCCACTGGTGTCAACGAAGCATAGCCGACTGACCAACTCTCCTGATCCTTGAAGTAGGGCGGCTTCTAGGGTTTTTTTAAGGGCTCCTTCACGGGGTTCGGTAGGGGTGTCGGTCGCTGGGGTGGAGGCTTTGGGGTTCAGGTTTTCGGATTTAGGCTTTCGGGTCGAGGGTTCCCAGTTTAAAGGATTTTAAAGGGTTTCGGGGCTTAGGTGCAGACGAATTGGGCGCTGGAGTGCTGCACCGTACTGTTGCCGCCTATCTCCGTCCTTTCTCTCCTCGTTTGTTTTTTCTGAACTCCGTAATGCACTTTAATTGAGGGCCTCGCATCCCTGGTGAGTTGTGTGCCATGACCCTTGGCTCGCTCGCCGAGGTACAAGCGGGATGGAGGTGCCTTCGGCGCAAAGCTGACGTTCTGGGTGTAAAGCTTCCAGTTGGAGTTCAAGGGCAATGTGACACAGGGGTCTGAACAGTTGGAAACATGTTCCTTTCGCAGTCATTGGTTCATCATCATAGATGATACCCCAGACCTCTATGCTCTGAGCTCAGGGCCCTGTCATAACATCCTTTTATAGTCACGACATAGCTACAGTGTGCTAGTCCGCCAACTCTAGTACAGTTTCTAAGACCCGTACAGATTAGTTAGGAAGAATCTTTGTTGCGTTTTGGTTGTCTCAGCCCAAAGCCCGCACCCGAACGCTTCCCTGAGATGCAGGCCTCAGTCGTATGGACCTGGACACAGTCGTAACCATACAGCGCTAAACTCTGAATCGTCTTTGTAATACTGGTGCGAATACCATAAACCCTGAATAGTGCGGGTAGTAATGGTGCAATAGGAAGAGCGGATAACCTTACTACAAAACCCAAACTCTGAGTCGTATGGATAATACTGGTACTACAGGAACAGAGGGGGACCTTCCGTCCTTATGGTCACAGTTGGCCTATCGGGGCCCTGCGTTCAGGCCTCAACCGTATGGGCCTGGACGCCATCTTGAGACATCAATTCGGCGAGGACAACCTGCCGCTCGGATGCGGGCCCCACGGGGCTCTCGAAAGCTTCAGGGGAGGTTCAGAGGTGTATCGGAAGAATTGGACGTTGCATCATTTTATGGCCACGTTCCTGCATAGTTATACCATTCTGGTTTCATCCAGGGGTCGGAACAAGAAAATTTTACGCGCAGCCCTAGGGACCAGAGACCAGTGTTTAGTGCCTGGGGGTTGTGCGATTTGGGCCTAACTCCCAAACTCAATTCCCCAAACCTGAAGCCCGAAATTCCCCAGCCCCTAAACCCAAGAAGCATAAGCCCCAAACCTGAGAACTAGGATCATGACACTAAAAAGCCCGAGAATCATTAAAACGTAGCCATTTAGGCCTACATCCTAAACCCCAAACTAAAATAGTAGAGGTCTTAGCATTTCATAACCTGGCCGTAGAGTCTGGATATAGCTATATACAGTGTAGTTGTGAAGGTCAGGGTTTAGCGCTTTGGGGCCGGCTCTATCCCGGCCCTAAGCCTCAGCCTTCTAACTCCAACCCTAAACTCTAAACCCTTAAACCCGAAATCCTGAACCCCTGAACCCTAAATCCCTACACCCTAAACCCTGAACCCCTAAACCCTGAACCCCCAGCCCCTAAACCCCTAAACCCTAAACCCCTAAATCCTTGAACCCTAAACCCATGGAACCCACAGAGCTCAGGGAGTCGGCTTCTGCAGAGCAGGACGACGATGAGATGGTGCCTCGGCAAGAGGCATGAAGTTTAGGGCTCTAGATGGCAATTTGGGAAACTTTTAATTTCCCCTATGGTTCCTATAGAGGTACCTATTCATGAATACTTCTCAGAGCCCCAAAACTACATCCAAGGGTTTTAGGGTTTTGAGGTTTTGGGGTTGAGGCATGAAGTTGAGCGTGGTTCAGGGTTTAGGGTTTAAGGGATTTAGGGGGGTTTAGGGCGGGTTTGGGGTTCAGGGGTTGGGTTTGGGGACTATGAGCGTTGGGTATGGAGTTAAGAGTGGGTTCATGGTTTGGGAACCTAAGGGTTGGGACCTGCTGATTGGGTTGTGGGTTTTGAGGGGGTGGGTTTAGGGCTTGGGCTTCATGGACATTGGGTGTAGCTGTTGGGGTTTAGGTTATACAGGGGTTTGGGGTTCAGGGTGTGGGTTCAGGGACTCTTGCCTAGGATTCCAACATAGTTCATCTTATAGTTGCCGCGTCAACCCCTTCAATCCCGATGCCCATGTCTCCCTTGTTTACTTGTGAATCTTCCGAAATAGAATCCTGGCCTTGAAGATCGCACACAGCGTCTTGAAAAAGCTTAGAATTAGAAACGCCTGTCTCCCTTCTCTCGCGCTAATCCCCCGACATAGAATCCTGACCTGTAAGATCGCTTAAAGCCTTTTGAAAAAATCCTTACAAATAAACCCTAAACCCTAAACCCCTAAGCTCCTAACCCCTAAACCCTAAACCCCCAAAGCCTGCACCCCCAAGTCTACCAGTCCGGCTGTCCAGCGGTCTTATGCCCGATGTCCTTTATCACGGGATCCTGTGCTCTGCTGGGACGTATGCTTTACCCGTGTTCATATTTAGAATCCTATATGGGGGTTTCCGAAAATAGGGGACCCTAACATAGTACCCCAAATAATAGGATCCGTATTATAAGGACCCCAGAATAAGGGACCCCGAATTTTCGGAAACTCCCATATGGTAATCCCAAAAAGGAAACTACTTTGGGGCCTGTGGGTAGGGTCCTAGAGTCCTGGAGCGTGGGTGTACGGCTTCGGGTTCTGAGCTTTAGGATGCTGCAGGTTCTACAGGGGTTTAGAGTCTTTGGGGTTTAGGGTGTAGGGCTTAGGGCCCAGGGTTTAGGGTTTAGGGTCCAGGGTCTTTAGGGCTTAGGGTATTCGGTGCAGGGTCTTTGGGTTAGGGGGATTCCAGTGCTCTTGCTTTCTTCTTGGCGCTGAAATTGTGCAGCTGTATGACTTGTTTTTTCGAGTGCCGCAGCCCCAAACCCTAAACCCCGAACCTTAAACCCTACCTTAACCTACCAAAACCTACTTTTTTGTAGGGTCCCTATAAATTCCATTTTAGGGCTTATAATAAGAACCTACAAAAAAGTAGGGTTTGGTAGTTTAAGGTATAAACCGTAAACTCTAAACACCAAGCCTTTAAACCCTAAAGCCTTCTAGTTCGGGGGGACTTTTGCTTCAGGGTGTGCGGCGTTTGCCACGACTGGCTCCTTGGGTCCTACGGTTGATGATATAAATCCTGCATGACCTTAAGGGCCCTAAACTATGGGAATTATGGTATATTCCCTATTATGGGTAATGCAGGATTTATATCATCAACAGTACCGGTTGCGATCCTGCAGAACCTTGGGCAACCTTGTCTACACCCGTAAAGAAACTACAAGCAAAGACGCATCAAAACTATCCTTGTTGGGGGACTCTCGCTGAAACTTCAAGCCCCCAACCCCAAAATTCTTCCATGACCTACTTTTTTTGGGTCCTAGTATGGCTCCCCAAATGGAGTGCACAGGGACTGTACGAATGAAGTTCTGGTAGGTGACGGGAAATGTAAGCCCTAAACCCAAACTGAACTTCAAGCCCTAAACTTCAATCCGACACACTATAAGCTTCTGATCGCTGAGACGGGCTCCAACGAGACCGACAAGGACTATTCGCAGGACTGCTGCATGCAGATCGTGCTTTTGGGGGGTCTTAGGGAGTTGCGCTGCGGGGTTTAGGTTGGGAGAGGGGTAGTTCGCGTTTAGGGCTGAGGGCTGCGCCTTGGGGTTTTTGTTTGGAGGCTGAGACCCTATAAACCCTAAACCCCTAAACCCTAAATCCCCAAACCCCTAAACCCTAAACCCTATAGACCCTATAAGCCCTAAACGCACTAAAAACCCAAAACCCCTGGGCAAAGTTGTGGGTTGCCAGGCTAATGTTCAGTGTTCGGAGTTCCGCGCGCTCGGGGGATGCCGGTTAGGTCAAGCCAGCCTGCAGAAGCCGCCCCTTAACCACAAGACACCAGTACCAGAGAGATTTTGTTAGGGTGAAAATGTGTACTAGCTGGGCTGCATTCATGCCACAGTTGCTACGGGGAGCTTGTGTTTTCAGATTCGGCTAAGGTCTTGGTAACAATGAGTTCTCAGGCTAAGTCTTGACCTGGATCGGTGTGATGGTTTGCGGTTGTTCTCGTCTGAGCCGTAAAACACAAACTCTAACCCTAAGCCTAAACTTGCACAGGAGCATGGCCTTTTGAATCCTTGATGGCCCAAACAAGGCAGGCCTGCAACCAACATGAGGCAAGCCCTCAAAGGCAAAGCCGAGACCCTGTGGCCTGAAACTCTTGAGCAACCTTAAGCCGCCCAAACGACCCTACAATCCCCCTAAACCCTAAACCCTAAACCCTAAACCCCTAAACCCTAAACCCTAAACCCTAAACCCTAAACCCTAAACCCTTAAAGCCCCAAAACTCCAGATCTTAATTAGGCAACTCTAACAAAGCTCGCGGCCTCAGGACTTTTCCGTCTTTGTGGGGAAGACCGGCAGGATGTTCCGCATAGCCCCCCGGCACGTCTTCACGGCAATCCCGAAGCCCCTGGCTTAGGGTTTAGCGTAAATTTAGGGCCCTGAGCCCGTAAACCCCAAAAACCCCTAACACCCCTAAACCCCTAAAACCCCTAACACCCCTAAACCCCTAAACCCTAAAGCGGTTTAGGGTAGGATTGCTCCGTTTCAGGTTCACTTGCACCGGAGGGCCAAGGCGCTAACCTTGTAACATGTCGACACGAGCGACAAATCGTAAGCCCTAAATCCTACAAGTGCACTAAACCCTGAACCTTAAATTCTAAACCCTAAACCTTTAAATCCCTAAGCCCCGCAAGTACTCCCTTAAATCCCAAATCGTAACACCCCCAAGCCTCCAGGTGACCAGTGGCAGATTTACCGGTTTCTTCCTGCTGCTCACCCTGCACCGCGGCATGTTTTGCGTAAGCCTTAAACCCTAAACCCTAAACCCTAAACCCCTAAGCCCTTAAACCCTAAAGCTCAACCCGAAATCAAACCCTTCAATATCTAAAGCCTAGGCCCGGAGGTCCTAAACCCTTTGAAGGGAACCCTTAAAAGGAACCCTTACAGGAGCACTTCAAGGAGCCCATAAAGGAAGCCGAAACGGATCACTCAACCTGAGCGACCCCTATGTCTCCGGCCCTGTGACTTTGCAAGCCCTCCGCTGAAAGGCTCGACCTGATAGAAAGCCAGACCATGAAGGCCTCTCTCTCTGGTCGCTAGGGTTTAGGGCTTAGGGTCGTTCTAGGCCTCGAAACGCCGCTCCTTTCGAGCCCCTCATCCTCCAAACCCACAGCCCCCAGACCCTAAGCCTTGATCTCAAACCAACTCTTGGTTGCCTTAAGCCCTAAACACCTAAGCCCTGGGCCCCCGTGTGGGACCTCGGGATCCGGGTCGCATTTCTGGTTTCGGGGGCCCTGATTGCAGGCTTTCAAGCCTTCGGTCGGGTGACCGAAATATGGAAGTTTCCGAAAATTGAGGACCCTGATATAGTACCCAGAAGTAGGATCCTTATTATAAGGACCCCGAATTTTTGGAAACTCCCATGCAGGGTCTTGGGAACCTTGCGGTTAAGTCTGGGCTTCTGGGAATTGGGGAATTTTGAGGGCCTTTGCACTGTAGGGTTCCAGGATGTGCGCCATGCATTTGTTGTACGGTTCCAGGGTTGAGGGTTGCAAGATTCAGCACTTGAGGGTTTGAGGCTAAAGGGGTTTAGGGTTTAGGGTTTAAGGTTTCAGGTTTAGGGTTTAGGGTTTGGGGTTTAGGGTTAAGGGTTTAGGGTTTAGGGTTTGGAGGGAAAGAGCCCCGGGCTCCTGAGGTACACCTTCTACGTGCCGGACATAGATGTTATCTTCGGCAACAAGCAGTCAGAGACTGTGCCACTCGGTTTCCGGGTTGTTGGGTTCAGGACTGCGAGTAGGGCGACATGTTGGACAGTAATGAGGGTAACTGTACAATGAGCCCTCTTTCTACTTTCAAGTCCTTGTGGGCGTCCGAATTCCTATTCCTCCTATTCCCGAAACCCTTGGCTAAACCCTCAACCCAAAACCCTAAACCCTCACCCCGGAGCACTAGATCCTCAAACGGTGCTTGCTTAATGAGGGAATCAGGCTCTCGGGTTGATGTGATGCAAGGCAGGGGCAAAGGTTCTGAGCGCTGTTAGCCTGTTTACTTTCGGCCCCTTTATCGCGGCAGCTCGTATGTTGAAACCACTGCCAGTCGCAGTGTAAGCGCAGTTTTGCCAGCTTCGAAGCTTCACATAGCAAGACCTATGTAACATAAGATAGAACAGGGCTGTGGGGTATGTCATAGGACTTCGACCGCCCCAGTTACTCAAGCCCTTAGAAGTTTTCAGCCTAAACTCTACAACTCTCACGCTGCACGACACCCCGGAATCCTAAGCTCTGAATCCTAAAACCTCAAACCCACCCCATCCCTGTAACCCTTTGAAATCAACCCGAAGAAAGAAAAGGCCAGTTAAAAGAGGGCCCGAATCATTGGTGGTAGTTAGTATACAGTACATCTCTCCGGCTTCCTGAACATACATAGAGAAAAACTGCTACATACCTCGACGCTTCGTTCTAGCTATTGAGGCCCCTAAATCTCCATGACCCAAAGCACCACCACCACGACGACGGCGACTCATACTGTTGCCAACCCCCCAATCCCAGGGTTAGCATCTCCATGACCGTGACGATGGTTCTTTTCTTGGTGGAGTTGGTGGTGAGTCTTGGGAAGAAAGAGATCAGGGTGCTCATCCCTAAACCCTAAACCCTAAACCCTAAACCCTAAACCCCTAAACCCTAAACCCTAAACCCCTAAACCCTAAACCCTAAACCCCTAAACCTGTAGGGCTTTTAGGGCTTCTTGGTTCGCGATCTCCGGCTTTTGAGACTGGGAAGGTCGGCTGAGGTTTCATGTCTCAGGTCCCCAGAGACTCCAATATTCCTTAATTAAGGAATATTCCTTAAATTATGGTAGGATCCCTTATATGATTTAAGATATATTCCTTAATTAAGGGATCTTGGAGTCTCTGGGTCCAGGACGTCGGGCCTGTAGTTGTGGTTTGGTGTTTGGGGAGAAACTCCTTGTACTCACAGCTTGGGGAGTTGAGGGCATAGGCTTCTTTTTTGTTTAAACCGGTTAAGAAGTACCTGAAGGCCAAGAGTTCGAAGCCTCACACGTCCAGCTGAGGAATAGCCTCGCCAAGCCTGGATACCGTTTGAGCTGCTTGTCTCATCCAGCCACGTGCCATGCTTCTCCTTCACACACACACACAGACACACACGTGTTCATGCAAATATGTGGACATGCACTGGTTTGTGTGTACTAGCATGTGTGGTGTTTATTTACTTGTACTCGTGATATTTTCCGAATTAGGTGAGGTTGCTAAGGAACATAAACCGTTGCGTAAGCACATCTCTATCTATCTATCTTCCGACAAGTACATATCTGTGTATATGCTGGCGATGGCACGCACATGTCACGCAGAGTAATGTACATATACTATAAATATATACATATATACATGTACATATGTATGTCTGTATGTATGTACACACATATTTATGCACATATACATATACATCCACAGCCATGCATAACCTTTCTACATATATGTTGTACTTATGTAGATCTGGACATGTTGATATATTAACATATGTGTCTGTATGTGCAGATATATGTATGCACTTTCGCTACGGCTCTGGTTGATTGGACTGTACCACACATCATGTTTGATTCGCAGACCTGGGTTTAAGCACAGAGACGACGTGAACCCTACAGTGTGACATAAGCCTTGAAACCTAATCTCCAAGAACCCTGAACCCCAAGCCCCTATACCCTAAACTCCGAAACCCTACCCTAAACCCTAAACCCCTAAACCTTGAACCCTAAGCCCTAAACCAGGTTTCTCCTTCTGGCTGGACTTTGCAGCTTCGCTGGGGCCTGAGCTGCACGGAACTCTGGAGCCCGAAGTACTTCGATGGTTTAGGGTTTAGGGTTTAGGGTTTAGGGTTTAGGGTTTAGGGTTTAGGGATTTGTGGTTTGAGCGTTTCGGGGTTAAGGTTTGTGGAGGGCCTAGGCCGCAGGATTTGCCGGGAGGTCGGAATAAAAGCCTTGGCTTGCCAGATCATTCCGGATATACGGCCCCCACTCAGTTATAGTTGAGTAAGATTCAATATATATATATATATATATATATATATATATGTTTTTTTTGTTTTAGGACCCTATTATAGACAATGATTGTATGGGGGCGTTGCCTACGGTATACCTGAAGCAGCTGTGTCAGCATCCCAACTCTACAGCCGGAACTCTACAGCCGAAGCCCCTTCGGGCTTAGTGTTTGGGATTCAGGCTTTGGTGCTTATTGGGTTTGGGCTTCAGCCTACGCTCTGAAGCCCTCAAAGCCCTAGGCACTAACACCTCGAACACTGCATTCAGCCTTTGACTAGGATGATCGTCGGCCTCATCGACATAGTCAAGCAAGCCCGACAAAAGCTGATGGAACCTTTGCGAACAAGGCTATCCCTCTTGCCTGAGACCTGGATGTGGAAGCGTCCCGCCTGCCTTTGGAGGGGATCGGCTGTGCTTTTGGAAATTCGGGGTCCCTCAACCTGATCCCTTAAACAAGAAGTCGTACACCCTGAAGCTGTAAGCCTAACCCCAGACCCTGCACATCTTTGCAGCAAGTTCTACATCCTAAACAAAAAACATATGCAGACGATCCCTCAATCCGAAACCATAGCTATTCGTGTTCAAGCTCTCCCGGAGTTCACGGGTTTAGGTCTCTCAGGATTGCTCGGAATTTCAGATCACTGCAACACCCGGCACCCCAGACCCGAAACCCAGTATAAGGGTTTAGGGTTTAGGGTTTAGAGTTTAGGGTTTAGGGTTTAGGGTTTAGGGTTTAGAGTATCTATTGGCATTGACATTCTCGTAGGGTCACCGGCTTGTCGCGAAGGCGGTTCTCCTTTCGCCAGCCTAGACTCTAAATCTTAGACCCTGAAGCCTACAGTAGAAGCCAGAAAGTTGGAACATCATTAGCCTCATGCCCTTAAAGCAAAGTACAGGGAATCCCAGCACTGATCCTCCTAAATCCATGTTCCAACTTTCTGGGGTTCACAATAAACCTTGCACTGTGGACCCTAAAGGCCCTGCTCCCAGGACATGCATCAAAGAAGCTTTGGGAAGTTTAGTGAGTTTAGTGCATACGGGGAGTTTGGAGCTCAGTAGGGTTGAGGGTTTAGGGATTTTAGGGTGTACGTTTGAGCGCTTTCTGCCGAGGTTGCTCTTGTCCTCCAACTTTATCGTCGCGAATGATGAGAGCCTGACGCAGTACCTGTCGCTTGGCTGAGAGAGTAATTCGTGGGCTCTTCACCTCAGGCACTGAACGGTAAGGCCTAAACCCCTAAACGCTGAATACTCCCCGAACCCTCATTCGTTGTTGTAGACACGTCGCCAAGAGACCGTGCATGTCAACCTCCAGCCCTAAACCCTAAACCCTAAGCCCCAAACCCTAAGCCCTAAGCCCTAAACCCTCAACACCTTTGCAGAGGGAGTGTTCCACTTGCTTGAAGTTGATGTGTTCTACGTACAACCTCCAAGGCGCCCCCTGTGCCGTTTAGCCGCGCAGATAGAACCGATCCTGGGAAGCAAACCCTAAGCCTTTAGACCATAAGCCGCAGCATCCTATAACTCAAAACCGTAAATCCTAATATGTCCTAAACCCTGAACCCTGAAACTCCAAGCCCCAAATAGCCCGAAAGCCGTGACAGCTGTTGAGGATGCTCGTTGCACGGTCCTCCCGGGCCTCGCGCCTGCAGCGCCTCACACGTTCGGGGGCCTGGCAACGCTTGGGGGTTGTTTGGGTTTTACAGGGTTTTACCCAAGGTTTTATAGGGTATTATGAGGTGTTGGAGGGCTTTAACGGGTCTTGTACGGTCTTATAGGGCTGAGTGAGGATCCTGCACTTAGGGTATGATAGCTGTGAACATTGCTTTACTAGGGCATGGTATGATATGGTTTGTCGCATGGTAGGTTAGGGTCTGGCATGGTATGATGACGATGATGATGATGAAGCTGATACTGGTATCGATGATGATGATGGTTATGATGGTGATGATGATGATGATGATGTGTTAAGGGCTCGATAGCCCCTCACCCTTAAAGGGTTTCATCAGGATGAAACGTGTCCTTCTTGCAGGAGGGGGGCATAGGGAATGTGCTTCGGCAGTTCTATATGGTTTACGGAGTGATTGCAGGGTGTGGGGTGTGGGGTGTGTAGGGTTATTGTGTTCAGGGTTTCGAGTTTCGGGATGTAGAGCAGGGGCGTTTAGGGGTTTCGGGTTTTGCCTTAAAGATGCGGCTTCTCTTCTTGACGGTTCGCCCGTAGCCTCAGCCCTGAACTACAGCCATGAAGGGTAATAGACCTGATCGGACGCGACCTTAAGCCCCAAGCTGTCTAACCCAGGCCCGCACAAAGACCATAAAGCCCCAAAACCCCCAAAAATTGCAACCCCAGGCCCTACTTATAGCAGACCTACCTTTTTAGGTTTCCTCATTATGGTTTCTATATATATATATATACATATATATATATATATATACATACATATATATATATATATATAGAGTACCTTAAAACGGTAGGTACACCCCAAACCCCAAGTCCCAGCCTGCTTGCGGCCTCGACCCCGCCGGAAGGTCATATGGCGCAAGTAGACCTGGGTCCGAGTCCTCTTAGGTCGAAAGGTTGAGGGTTTAGGGGTTTAGGGTTTAGGCTGTTTCGGGTTTAGGGTTTAGGCTGTTTCGGATTTAGGGTTTAGGGTTTAGGCTGTTTCGGATTTAGGGTTTAGGGTTTAGGCTGTTTAGGGCTCTGGGTTGAAAGTTCTGTTCCTTTATTCGAGGCTGTCGAGCCTTTGTGGGCGCGCAGGTCTGATGCGCATTGCAGCGCTGCTGCCGCGGCTCACCTCCCTTTTCCAGCGCAGCAACAGGCAGGAGCCGGGCAAGGGCTTTGGAGCTGAGCAGCGTCTTGGAATTCGGGGTCAACGGTTTACATGAAACCCTAAACTCCCTAAACCCTCAACCCAGGGTCTCATTGACTAAACCCTCAACCCTGAACCCAGGGTCTCATTTAGTAAACCCAAGCCCCAAGCCCGAAGCCCCAGATCCTAAGCCCCGATGCCCAAACTCGAATCAACCGGAGGACCCCAACTAAAGCCCTAAACCCTGACTAAGGCCCTACACCCGAAGCCCTAAAGCCCTACGTCCTGAACCTAAGGCCCCGAAACCTCCAACTAGTTGATACCCTTATTAACTTATGGGAGTTTCCGAAACTTGGGGGGGTACCTTATATTGGGGTCCTTAGAATAAGGATCCTACTATGTAGGGTGCTATATTAGGGTCCCCTATTTTTCGGAAACTCCGTTGTAGAGCCTTTGAAGGAAGTCTTGAAAGGAAGCCTGTAACGAACCCGTAAGAGGAACCTCTGACAGTAACCCTGCAAAAGGTGCTCTCCAAAAACAGGATCCGAATGAAGCCCTGAAAAAAGGAACTCTCAAAGGGCACCCTCACAAGGAGTTGCGAGAAAGGAATCCCCCCAGAAAGGATCCCACCAAAACACGGACCCCCCTCCACAAAAAAGGAGCTAGCAAACCCCAAAACGCCCCAAAAGGGAGCCCGATCGTCGAACTTTCCCTTGCCGGAGCCATGAGGCAGCTGGAAGCTGACGCACGCAGCCTTTTAGATAAGAAGCTGCACCGGATCTTCGCGTACTTGGATACGGAGCGCTGGCGGGTCTTCCTTTTTTTCTGTGGCGGGATCTAGGGTTTCTTTTTGGGTAAGATTTTCCTTCAAAATGGACCTTTGATTTTTCTTGTGTATGGCTTGAGGGTGTTAGTTTTTTTACAGTGCTCCAAAAAGTCGGTGCTTGCACTGAATGCAATTGCTACTTGTGGCATTTTGGAGTTTAGGATGTCGGGTTTATCGGGTTTCGGCTTCGCAGCGTTCAGGGTTTAGGATTTCATGGTTTATGAGGTTTAGGGGTTGGGGGTAGGGTAGTTTAGAGTTTTCAAGGCCGGCCCAGAGTCGAAAGCTCCTAGTGTTACTTAGGACCCAGAACTGTTCAACCTCGGTTTAGGGTTTAGGGTTTAGGGTTTAGGGTCAGATTGAGTTTACTTTCCCCTTGCAGAAGCCCTTCTCGAGGCCTTTCAAATGGAGCCTCTGAAGGAACCCCAGGGCCTCACCTCCGTCTACCAGAATGGGAGTTCTGGGTCCATGGTTCTTTCTTACTTTGCCCACTGCAATGAGGCCCAGTTTCCTGCTTGTCCGAGGGTTTGGGGCTTCGGGTCGCATCCGTTCGTTCTAGGAGCAGCACGGAGGAGCCTTCAGCAATGAACCACGCGACCTGGAGGCCGCAAACCCAGCCCCTCCAGCTCCTCGCGCCACACCAAAGCCCCTCAACCACCGCTGACACCCTAGGGCCTTGAACACGAAACCTCCGACGCGCAAAGCCCGAGGACTACGATGGGAAGATCTCCACTCATGCACTCAATGCAGTGCTGCAGCGCTTCGATTCTGCGCAGAGGCGACGGTGTAGGCTGACACCAAACCTTACAGAATGGTTAGTTTAGGTCACTGGGTTGGTTTATCCCTTGAGATGATAGTAGGTTCTTGGATCCACAGTTTCACTGGGCTTTTCTAGTTCTTGTGGCTTTCTGAGTTGGGGGTTGTCGTAAGCCTTCTCAGTAGAATTGGTGGGGACTCAGTTTTTTCGGATATGAGCTAACCAGGCGACCGCAAAAGCCTGAACCCCGAGCCCTCTGAACCCGAAGCCGCATGGGGTAGGGTTTAGAGTTTAGGGTTTAGGGTTTAGGGTTAGATGAAGGCGACTTTCCTCTGCGGTGGCAGTCTTTCCTGATTCTTTGCTTTTTGAATGAGTCCCCAACCTGCCGGTTAGCATAAGCAATGAGAATACAATATATAGTGTACCCTAATGTTTCACAAACCTGTTCCAAGTTGTGCCGTAGACAACCCTACGACGCCGCATACGAGCCTTGTAACATATGTTTCCTAGGTAGGGCTTTGGGACATTTTGTATTTTCCCTTATTGGGCTTAAGAGGATCTTACCTACTAATATTTTTCAAAGGCTTTAAAAGCACCTCCTAGTTTCTTTTCGCGGATTTGTGGGTTGGGTTAGGCGGCTGGAGGTCAGAGGGTTCTTTTTAGAGGTTCCTTTTCCAGGTGTTGTTTCAATAAGGGCTCTACAAGAGCCCTACAAGGGATCATAGCGGGATCTGACGGAACTCTATACGGGATCTGTAAGGGCTCTACTAGGGATCTACAGGGGATTTCAACGGGATCTGTAAGGGATGTATACCGGTTCTATGAGGATTCTAGAAAGGCTTACGGCTCAGCTTAGAGGGTCTCTGCAGCGTGTTTAATGTCTGCGGCGAGCCGGGCTAGGGTCTTTTTGGGGTGTGAGCCTCAAGAGATAGTGCTCTTTCGGCGCTCGCCTGCAAGTGCTGTTGAATGCATTTCAAACGGCTAAGAGGCTGCGATCGCACGGGCGGCGGGAGAGGCGTTCAACTTGATTCGGGCCCTAAGACGCACGAACTACTTCGGCTGTTTTGGGGCATTGGGTTAAGAGTTAGGAGCTGCAAACCTGATTGGAGCCCTTGAAGTTATTCAGGCCCCTTTATGAATACTCTTCACATGCCCGGCATAAGATTATCAAGGGACGCTTGGTATGAAGCTGGATGAATGGGGGTATTGGGCTCCCTGAAATCCTTACACTTCATGAGATTCTTTCAACATCCGTGTAAACAGCCCCCCAAGATGTGAAAGAACACAAACGACTGCTCTGGACCTGAACGCCCCAAATCCCAAAACCTCCTACACTCGCCCCTAGACTCTAGAACCCGAGACCCCAAACCCTAAACACTATAAACTCCTAAGCCCTTAAAGCCTAAGCCCCTAAACCCTTAAACCTGAACAATACTTAGACCCTGAAGGAAGACCGTCGAATCGAACCGCAGCAGCGTTTTCCAAAATCTGCCCTTCTTCCGGAGCAAGCGACCTGGCTGTGCTGAGAGGGATTAGGGTTCCCTGAAAGGGTATTATAGGGTTCTACAACAAGGTCCCCTTTGCGGGGGTACTAACCCCTTTAAGGGGTACTGTAGGATTCTAGAATCGGGTTTCCTTAAAGGGCTCCTTAACGGTTTAGCGTTTAGTGATTACCTAAACCCTTAAACCCTACCCTAAACCCTAAACCCTAAAACCTAAACCCTAAAACCTAAACCCTAAACCCTAAACCCTAAACCCTAAACCCTAAACCCTAAACCCTAAACCCTTAAACCCTAAACCCTAAACCCTAAACCCTTAAACCCTAAACCCTTAAACCCCAAAGCTTGGGCTTTTCTGGGCCCGGTCCGAGGAGCTCCGCCGGGACGGCCTCGGCGCTCCCCTCTGCCGCGCGGACACCCATGTGCGAGTCCGACCAGGCAGGGGTTTAGGGCTTTGTTTTTTTAAAGGGGATTATAGGGTTCTATAGGGTTTTATAGTTTGTTTTAGGGTTCTATAGGGGTTTATAGGGTTAATAAGGATTTATAGGGTTAGGGGTTTAGGGTTTAGGGTTTAGGGAGGGATCTATGAGGGTTTCTGCAGGCGTTGTTCATAGGATGCTGTCTGGTTTTACATGCAATACTATGCGGTTTATTTAAAAAATAGGATCCTGCAAAGATTCTTTATTCAATGGTACGGGGTGGTCTGTCAGGTGTTTGGGGCTGAGGGTTCTGTGTTACCCAATCTCGCCAAATTACCCGAAGTATGCATGTGCTTTTTGTGTAACCTAAAGCAGTGAACCGTATGATGCCCTAAAGACCCCCAATTCTAGGTCAGCAGAAACAAAACCCACAACCATCCTAAACCCTGAGACCTCCAGTCCAGCAACTTACACCCCTCCCTCCCTCCCTCCCTCCCTCCCTCCCTCCCTAAAAAGCCCAAACCCTAAAACCCCTAAGCCTTCAGATCCTGAAGGATTGAACTTTGCACCCTGCACCTCTAACGCAACCCCTGAGCTTGTCCAGCCCCAGACGTGAAACCGTCCCCCCTCAATCCACGCAAAGTCAAACAGAGGGGATGGCTCTGATTAATCATCCAAGGGGTCGTAGGTACTGTTTTGGGGGATACTTCCCCAAACTTTAATAGCGATTCCTAATATACAAACCCTACATTCTACCATATAGGTACTTAGGACCCTTTGGGTGATTAATGTAGGAACATGATTAAGAAACCCTGGGCCTATTTCCCCAAAACAGTAGGGTTCATATCAGGAGCCCCAACAAAGGCCCAAGGTTTCTTGATCAGGTTCCTGAAGGGAACTCCAGAAAGTTGGAATATGGATTAATGGTAGGATCCCCTATAATTGACCTTAAAGGGGTTACGATAATCATATTCCAACTTTCTGGCTTCCACTGTACATTAATCAGAATCTTTAGTTCAAGATTTCGGCTCGGGTTTGGGGCTCCACGGTTCAGGCCGGTGTTCAGGATTTCAGGTTCGTGTCGCCATACCCAGAGATCCCAATACCTCTTAATTAAGGAATATACCTTAAACCATAGTATTAAGGCTTCTATAGTTTAAGGTATATTCCTTAGTTAAGGGGTGTTGGGTTCTCTGGGTACCGGTTGGGCATAATTGGGGAGTCTCAAATGAAGGGCACCTTGTCTGACGGGGCCTGGGCCGATGTTGGCTTGATTATCGGCCTTTCGTTGTTGCTTTAGGGGGTTGGGCTCGAAGATGAAGGCTGTGTCAAGGGGGAGCAGAAATGCTGATACGTTGGATACTTGGGCAACACAGGTATACACTAGGGTTATAGGGGCCTCAACAATTACCAATTCTATTTTGGGGGTTCCTGATTAAAAATACAATTATTGGCCCCTACATTATGCAGCGTCTTTTTTTCGTTGTTGTTTTCGCTTTTCCGTGTGGCCAAGGTCTTCCATTCTCAGGTTCCATCGTCGATTTCGCTTCCATTCTGCTTTCCGTTTCTCCTTGTTCCGCTTATGTACAGGCTTGAGCATGAAACGGAGCCCGACACCGAAGCTTTTCAAGCCCGCGAGTTTCGCTTTCGTCTTCCGTTTCCGCTTTTGATTCCTGCGGGTTTCCGTTCGGGTTGCGACGGCGGAAAGTCAAACGGAGCCAAAATCGGAAGGAAACGAGGACGGTGACCTTACAAATATCAAGGCACTTTATTTAGGTCCGACCTGCCAACTCCGAAACCTGAAACTATACATGCCAAACCCTAGGGCCCTAAACTAAACCCTGAGTCGTAAACCTGTTAGTAAACCTTTAGTCGGTTGAAGGTCTATAGGGTTAATCCACCCTACACCCTAAACCCTAAAACCCAGGAAACTTGAAGAGCCCTTGCATAGCCCAGGAGGATGAGAAAGACGCTCCGCCAGAGTACTCGCCTAAGGTGAGCCCTCAGAAGCTGCGGAAGGACTCCGGATCATGGTGGTCTTTTGTGGCGGGTTTCGGGTTCATGATGGCTACAGTACTTATACACCCCACCCTCGCAGGGCCCTAAAACCGCTTCTCTGAAAACCGCTTCTCTGCAGGATTCCCTAAAGCGCAACAACCCCGAAACTGAAAACCGAACGGATAACCCTGGCAGAACCCTTCTACCAGCCCTTGAAAAGAACCCTGACGCGGAAGCCTGGTAAGGGTTTCTATAAGGGTTTTTCTTTAGGGGTTCCTTTAAGCCCAAGAAATTCAGATGAAGGGGTCCCAATCCCTCGAGGATTCCCTGGCGTCCGACATGGATGCTGCCGTGGAGACGGCCCATGTCCACAGCTCCAAACACCTTCGCTTCTCCGAGGCGAGAGCCTTGAGTGTTTTTTTTTTCCGTTGATGTTTAGTTTCAGAAGGTTCTTGGAAAGTTTGATCCACAGAGAATCTGGCTCACAAAAAATGCCATATGACAAATGCCGACAACATGTGGAATTCTATAAGACAGAGTGAGGCTTAGTATGGCCTGCTGAGCACCGCCCCCGACTCCCCAATTTTGTTCCCCACCCCGCAAAACATCAAACCTGTACAACACGAAAAAGTCATCAGCTGCTGCTAAGTCTTCCACGAGGTTGCGGAAATCTCCCGCCCAGTCTTGAACGACAAGTCTGTGGAGGAAGACGAGGTGCGCTTGATGGTAGTGGGTACAGTTTATTATTATGCAAGGGGTGCAGTTTTATGACCCTAACTGGGCCCTTGAAGCGGATAGCAGGCTTTCAAGCCCTAAGCGCCGGCGAGAACCTTCAAAGTTGCTTGTTGGGTCTAGAGTTGATGTTTTAGGGTTCAGGGCTCAGGGCATTTTGGGCCTTACGCCTTCGGGTTTGGCTTAAGGCTCAGGCTTATGTCCCCCGCTCCTTCTGAAGGATCAGTTTTCGTGGTCATTTCCGTAGTTGAAGATCCGTTTCGGGAGAGATCTTTCTCAGTGCATTCCTTGATATGTCCATCGCCTGGGGATTTCAGGGGTCATGGGACCTCAGTGGTTTCCGGATGTAGGCTTCAGGGGCTAGGGTTCGCAGGTTCAGGGTCGAAGATAGCACGAGCTGATCGGGGTCGCAACCATGCGTAGGGCCCTGCACCTGAAGCCCCACAAGCCCCTGTACTCCTAAGCCTCTAAACCCTAAACCCTTAAACCCCTATCCATATTAATTAGCCCAAAACTTTAAGCAAGTCCAGAGCCCTTAAATGTGGAGGCAACTGGCGTCCCAATGGGTCTCCTGGAGGACGGTCGCGGACTATTTCATGGGTTTACGGTCTAGGATGTAGGTTTAGAGGTTTAGGGGGCTAGGGCTTTAGGGAAAATCGAAGACCCTAGCAATTTTGCTTTTGTGGTACAAAGAAAGAGGTCCTTGCAGATTGTAATTAAGGTTCCTTCCAATAAGGAGCCTATTATGGAGGGTCTATGTTCTACCCCTGCGCCCGGACCCCAGTTGATGGCTAAACAAGGCGTTATGGTGGTTGATGCGGCTTTTCGTGTGTGTTGCAAAGGTGTACTTGGTGTTGAATTCGATTTAGGGGCTCCTAAACAGGAACCCCTACACAGTCCTTATGGTAAGGATCATCGTGTTTCAGGTCTTGGGATCCCTGATTGTCTCTATCTCTCGTATCTAAACCTGGGCATTCCGGGCATGCTAGAGATACCTGTGCCTCTACCTGTATGCCTGGCCCTCTCCCCAACCCTATCCCCATCTGCCCATCTACCCATCTGCCGTCTGCCCATCTGTCTGTCCGTCTGTCTATCTGTCTGCCAAGCTATCTATTTATCTGTCTGCCTGCCTACCTATCTACCAATCTGTATCTACCTATTCATCTACCTGCATAGCTATCTACGTATCTACATAGCTATCTACCTATCTTTCTTTCCTTCCTTTCTTTCTTTCCACCTCTCCTCCACCTGCCTGTTGACCTACCTGTTTACATACATCGAAGTCATTCAGGGGCTAGGGTTCTTGCATGTCGGGCTTCGCAGGTCCCGGGCCCCCAGGCCTGAAGTCCGAGTGAAAGCGGCCTAAGCCCTAAACCCTTAAAACCCTAAACCCTAAACCCCTAAACCCGAAACCTTTAAACCCTAAACCCTAAACCCCTAAACCCTAAACCCTAAACCCCTAAACCCCTATACCCTAAACGCTAAACCCTAATTACAAACACACTATTCCTCAGAGGCCTGGGGGTTTCCTCATGGTCGGCATAGTATGCAAACAGACCCCCAAGCCTTAAGCCTTCTTTGAAGTATCAAGGCGCCTAGATCAGAGGTCGGAATACTTGCCCAGCCGTAAGCCCAGGGCCCCCAGAGTCCCTTCTAGCCTGAAGTTTCCGTAGACTTCGTTTAGGGTTTAGGGTTTAGGGTTTAGGGTTTAGGGTTTAGGGTTTATTCTGTTCAGGCGCCGGAGAAGCCCATACCACGGCAGGTCAGCAAGGGAAGCGAGGCGAGCGTGGTTTTGAGTTGAGGCTCGTTCAGCATTCAAGGGTGTCGGGTTTCTGCAGGGGAGTACCCCATGCAAGCAGGGCTGATCATTGACATGCTGGATTTCGCCCTCATCCTCGACCCTCAACCCGAACACCCCCTCCTGGACCCCAAACACAAAAACCCTAAGCCCTGAACCAGAAACCCTTAACCAGAAGCCGACGCCCGTACAGGATGGTTCCAACTCAGACATTCTCGCCGATGAGGACGGGGAGTTATTGCGGGTTCAGGTTTTCGAGGTTGGAGTCTCATAGAACCTTAAACCCTGAACTCGTTGCCTTGGGGGCACATGGGGTTTTGCAGGCTTTCGTGTTTGGGGGGTTACATTAAACCCCATGAGGCCGTTGTAAAAACTTCACAAGGACAGGATACACCCGTGGTAAAGCCCTATTCTGGTTTCACTGCCATTTTGGCCAGAAGTCGGCAGCGTTCGGTTTTGCTCTTTTGATTTCGGGGACGCCTGGAAGGGAAATCGGGTTGGCGTACAGGCTTGGCTTGCCAGCTAGCGTAAACCGTACTGTAAGCCCTTAACTCTAAACCAGGATTCAGGCCGAGGGTTCGGGGAGTATGTGACTGCTTCTTGAGAACAGCCGCAACTGCAAGATTGTAGAGCAGAACAGCGAAGTAACCTCGGCAACATGTCGAAATAAAGCCCTAATCCCCACTTTAAGCCGTAAGCCAGCGACAGGATGTCAGCCGCAATGTCAGCAGCATCAGCTTCGTTGGGGTGCACAGCCAGACCCTGGGAGAATTTCTGGAACTGTGTCATTTCGTTTGCCTTAAACCGGACCTGAAACACCAAACGATGACTGTGACTGAACCCTGAACCCGAAGCACGTAGCAGCCCTTGTAGTTGTAGAGAGCTTTTCAAGTAGGTTTTGGTTTTCGAGAATTTTCGAGACGTTGCACAGCAATCCCCAGCGTTAGTCGCGGTCGTCGTAGCCCTAGTTGCGAGTAGTCGCAGCATTAAGTAGTAGTTAGTAGTCGTAGTCGCAGTGGCAGTCGTAATTAACAGGAGTCATAATGGTGGTGGGTGTAGTTGTAGCCGTAGTGCTAGTGGTAGTCGTAGCTATAGTCGTAGTTGTAGTGGTTGTCGTAGTTTTAGTCGCAGTCACAGTGGCTGTGGTCGTACTGCTTTCTATCTTGTTGATGCTGCAACCCCTTGGCTTAAGGTATCGTGAGATATTGCTTGCAACTTATTTCAACCCCTGAACCGCGGTCGTCTAAACCCGAGACCACGTCTACCCTCATCCCTTCAGCCTAAACGTTTAAACTCTACCCTGAAGCCAGAGTTCATCAGGCCTAAACTCAGCCCACACCCTCAACCCTGAATCCTGGCGCCCCTAAACCCTAAACTCCCATAATTGCCTGTACGCCCTACACCCTGAGTGCTTGACTGCTGCCCAGGAAAAGCGAGAGGAGCGAGCGCAGCGACGACTTGCCTGTCGCTGCGCCTTGGCGTAGCCCCGATAGACTTGACTCGGCCTCTAAACTCACGGGGTAGGGGTTTCGATTTGGGGTTGATTCTCTAGGGATTAGGGTTTGAGGGCTTTAGGCTCAGGATTTGGGGATGTAGTGGTTTAGGGTCTGAGGCTTTTAAGTTCAGGGTTCCCTGCAAACCCTCCCGCTTGATCGTATTGGAGTTTCGGGTTTCCTGTATGGGCGTCTAGGGTCTTACAGTTCGCCCGCGCCAACGCTCAAACCCGAACAAAGCAGCGCCCCTAAACCCTAAACCCTAAACCCTAAACTCTAAACGCCAAACCCTAAACCTTCAGCCCCGAACCTCCAACCCCTAAACCACTAATTTGGATGTGTGTCAGGTCGTTTTCCACTCCATGTCGCCCTAAGAGTCCCAAAAGGAGCGAAAAGGAGCAGAGCATGAACCCAAAAAACCCTAAACCCTTCGTCCCAAAAGGAGCGGAGCATAAACCCTAAGCCCGTAACCATCCCAAAAGGAGCGGAGCATGAATCCTAAACCCCTAAACCTCTGAACTTGAAAGCCCTAAACCCCAAACCCCCAAGAGCCCCAAGAGTGCCAAAAGGAGCGGAGCCTGAACCCTAAACCCTAAACCAAAACCCAAAAGGAGCAGATCATCAACCCTAAACCCTAAACCCTAAACCCTAAACCAAAACCCAAAAGGAGCAGATCATCAACCTTAAACCCTAAATCCTAAACCCTAAACCCAAAAGGAGCGGAGCATGAACCTTAAACCCTAAACCCTAAACCCTAAACCAAAACCCAAAAGGAGCAGATCATCAACCTTAAACCCTAAACCCTAAACCCTAAACCCTAAACCAAAACCCAAAAGGAGCGGAGCATGAACCACAAGACCACGAAGATGTCCGTCAGCTCTTGGGTTTCGGCGGCCTGGCTGGGCTTGGGGTTTAGAGACTTTGGGTTTATAGGGTTTAGGGATGTTTATGATGTTGAGGGTTTAGGGTTCATCTTTTAGGGCGTTTAGGGTTTAGGGTTTAGGGGGCATGGGGTTTAGAGATTTAGGGTTTGCGGTCTTGAGGGTTTTTGGGTGTTGGGGGCTTTAGGGTCTTGGGGGGTTTGGGGTTTTGGGTTTAGGAGGGTTTTGGGGAGTGTTGGGCTTGGATGTTTTGGGGCGAAGTGCTTTCCAAGGTTTCATAATTAAGGCTTTATGAGGCTTCTTGTTCCATAATGGGTTTGGGATTTGAGAGTTGCGGTGTTGGGGTGTTTGGCCCCTGAAACCCAAACCCATGCCCCATATGCTCAGCACCAGCCCAGAACACAAATTCTAAACACCACAAGCCCCGACACATCAAACCAAACCCCCAGCCCAACAACCCGCCCGTGTTGTCAAATGAATGAAGAGAAATACGTATGAATACATAAATACATACATACAGATAAATAAAAAACTGAATACAGAGATATATAAAGGCTTGGGTGACACCTCAGCCCAAAACCCTGAACCCTAACCTGGTCTAAGCCCTAAAGCCTAAACCCTGAACCCGAAAATCTATACCCTAGACCCTAAACCCTATAAACCAGGACATGAGGGACCAGGGTCGAGGGATGAGATCACGAATCCGGGAACGAAAGAGGATGACGAGAACGCCTGATCTTAAGGTCTTGTGACGGGTGGCAGAGACGTCAGCAGTCGCAACAAGGTGCTTAAAAAAAAAACCCTATAAACCCTAAACCCTAGACCCTAAAAACCCTAAACCCTAAACCCTATAAACCCTAAACCCTATAAACCCTAAACCCCAAACCTTTTACCCTCAAACCGCTTCCATTCGCAGCGGAGCCAAAGAGCCCTGGTCTCAAAGGAGGTGGACACCGTGACCTTCGACGACTTCAAGGAGCAGGCCCTTGGGGGGGGGGGGCAGCGAGGAATGCAGGGCCTTAAGTAATTGCCTAAGGGATTTTTCAATTGCTTCTTTTAAAAGGGGTGTATAAGGCATAAGGATTACTGTAAGGGCTATGTATAAGGATTTAGTATAGGGCCTGAGTAATTTCCAAAACTGTTTCGGGGGTTCCAGGGGGTTAACATCTCGATCAGCCTGTATCCTGTGCAGTCGGGAAGGAGACGAAGCTAAAAGGCTCTGCGCGAATTCCTCAAGCCTGAAGCAGGAACCGTGCCAAAGGCCCCGATCTTGCTTTGCATGTGGGAGTTTCCGAAAATCGGGGACCCTAATATATAGTACCCTAAATAGTAGGATCCTTACAATCAGGACCCCATATCAAGGTGCCCCTAATTCTCGGAAACTCCCGCTCTGAGGGCTTAATGCGATTTGGGGTCTGACTTTCTCTTGACCCTAAGGCCAATCTGGGTTGTTCTGAATCCATGCAGGGTGCCATGGGCTTCGTAATCTTGTCAGCTTTACTGCATGTTCGCATTGCAAAGCGAGTTTGCTGTTTTGACCAGCAACCAGCAACCATTCAGAAGCACCAGCCCCTACCCTTAAAACTTCAGCCGTATATCACGACTCCACAGACTCTACACGCAAGCCTGCGCTGTCGCAGATCCTCTGCGAAGAAGATACCGAACGACAGCTACTCAGCGTCTGTAGGCGCAACCGGTAGCAGCCGGGTTCAGGGACTGTAGGGTTTACGATGAATGGTTGAACAGGACTTCTCTTGACTTCGTCAGTTGCTGATGAAGCAGGGTCGGTGAGATGTATGTTGTTGGCGTTATTTGGGGGATGTCGAGCATACTGAGCAGATTACGTTCATGGGTTCATTTTGGCTGGGATGCTAAGGATTGTTCCAAGGTGCGACTTGTTCTTGGGCAGTCACCCTGAAACAGCAGGCATAGAAAGAGGCCGAGAGGCCCTCAACTGCTAAACCCTACCGTAAAGTCCGAACCCCAGGGCTTACGGTGTTGGGTTAATGCCTATACACAGAACCCTCCCTTAAGCCTAAACCCTAAACCCCTAAACCCTAAACCCAAACCCGAGCCGTCAGTCCCAAATACCCCAGCCCGGAAGCCAGGATTGCTGAGTTTTCTCTCAAAAAAAAGAAGAAGCCAGGAGCTCAACCCCCTAAACCCTCAACCCTAAACCCAGAGCTCTCAGTCCCAAATGCCTCAGCCCCCCAAAAGCCAGGAGCAAGCTCATGAAGACCTCGTACATGTACTCGGACCGTGTGAAGCACATGGAGGACATCGGTGTGAAGGTCGCCTTAGGCCTGGCTTGGGTGGCTTTAGGGATTAGGGTTTAAAGAGTTTAGGGTTTAGGGTTTAGGGGTTTAGGGTTTAGGGTTTAAGGAGTTTAGGGTTTAGGGTTTTAGGATTTAGGGTTTAGGGTTTTAGGATTTAGGGTTTTAGGGTTTAGGGTTTAGGGGTTTGGTTTTTAGGGGGTTCAGGGGTGAAGGGTTTAGGGATTTACCGTAAGGGGTTTCGAGAGAGGCCTTTGAGACTGGGACACGAAGGATCCATAGTTGTACTGCTATAAGTACAGGTATTTCGGCCCTCTAGCTTCGGTTTTGTTGTTGTTTTCGCTTCTGGTCCCGCAGGGCTTTTTGGGATGATGCCCTTCTAAAAAAACATTGGTTACAAAAGAGGGGTTGAATTTCCTTAACGGGGTTTGCCAAAACCCAAACAGCCTAACCCCAAGAAAGGAACCAGGTATTCGTGTGCTCAGGCTTCTCGTTTGCAGGCCGTCCGGTCTTTTGGGTGGCACGTGGCCTTGGGGTTTGGGTCCAACCTCGGGTTTTTGGGAACAGGCCCAACCCTAAACCCCTAAAATCTATGACCTGCAGCCGATACAACTGCACAGCAAACCCTAAACGCACTTTTTTCGGGTTTGGGTCCAGACTTTCCTGGAAAGGCGTCCTCTTCAACATCCTCATCGTGTCCCTGCTCAGCTGGTCCTTGGAGGACAACACGGCGAAGTGGCCCAGCTGCGCTTGCCTAATCTGGGAGCTGGAATCATTACCCATACTATTCCTCAGGGTTCCTTATGAGCGTAACATTATAATAAACCAAAATCCTCTTCTAATGATTATGTGCCTTTTGTACATCGTAGTCCGAGCTCAACTCCAGATTGCAATCGAGTCGAGGGCGCCCAATCCTCTTAAACACCTAAACTTGAACCCCAGCCCCCTAACCCCTAAACGCGAGCCCCCTAAGCCCCTTAGCCCCAGAGCCTCGAACCCTAAACCCTAAACCCTCTCTCTCAAATGAGTATTTAAACCCTGACACACTTTTTCGGCACGGACCCCCCCAATGTTGAGCCAATTTTTCGGCAGGACCCCCCAATGTTGAGCCAATTTTTCGGCAGGACCCCCCAATGTTGAGCCAATTTTTCGGCAGGACCCCCCAATGTTGAGCCAATTTTTCGGCAGGACCCCCCAATGTTGAGCCAATTTTTCGGCAGGACCCCCCAATGTTGAGCCAATTTTTCGGCAGGACCCCCCAATGTTGAGCCAATTTTTCGGCAGGACCCCCCAATGTTGAGCCAATTTTTCGGCAGGACCCCCCAATGTTGAGCCAATTTTTCGGCAGGACCCCCCAATGTTGAGCCAATTTTTCGGCAGGACCCCCCAATGTTGAGCCAATTTTTCGGCAGGACCCCCCAATGTTGAGCCAATTTTTCGGCAGGACCCCCCAATGTTGAGCCAATTTTTCGGCAGGACCCCCCAATGTTGAGCCAATTTTTCGGCAGGACCCCAATGTTGAGCCAATTTTTCGGCAGGACCCCCCAATGTTGAGCCAATTTTTCGGCAGGACCCCCCAATGTTGAGCCAATTTTTCGGCAGGACCCCCCAATGTTGAGCCAATTTTTCGGCAGGACCCCCCAATGTTGAGCCAATTTTTCGGCAGGACCCCCCAATGTTGAGCCAATTTTTCGGCAGGACCCCCCAATGTTGAGCCAATTTTTCGGCAGGACCCCCCAATGTTGAGCCAATTTTTCGGCAGGACCCCCCAATGTTGAGCCAATTTTTCGGCAGGACCCCCCAATGTTGAGCCAATTTTTCGGCAGGACCCCCCAATGTTGAGCCAATTTTTCGGCAGGACCCCCCAATGTTGAGCCATTTTTCGGCAGGACCCCCAATGTTGTAGGGTTGAGATCGAGTTGTAGGGTTTGAAGTTTGATGTCGTCTGAGGGTAACGAAAAAAACGTTCTAACTCTTTTGTTTTGGGATTCTTTGGGTGGGTGGGTATTCTTCCAAGTTCTTACTAGCGAACTTGACTAGAGATTGCTCGACCAGAGCTGCTGAACCCTAAACCCTAAACCCTGAACCCTGAACCCTAAACCCTAAACCCTAAACCCTAAACCCTAAACCCTAAACCCTAAACCCCAAGCCCGAAGCCATGATCTCTACACCCAGGCTTGAACCCTTGAGGCCCCGAAGCTCTAACCAAAGCTGGTACCTGGAATTCCCAAATCCTACACTTTAACTGCCTTCATCCCAACTTTACATCCATAGTGGGCCAAAATCCAACTCTGAAGCTTTAGGGGTGCATCGAAGCGAGTCCTATTTTGATTTCAACGTTTGTTTATTATCTTTTGTGTGTTGGGGAAACAAGCTTTGCCAGCCCGAAATCACAAATCCTAAAGCCCTCGAGCCAAGGTAGTGCCATTATTACTGACTATTGCCCTATGATTCTTCCTCTGATTGTTATTGCCTATTGCTGGTACTCTGCTACTATGTGATTGCCATCATGATCATTTTTATCATGATTACCCTCAGTATCATTTTTCTCCAAGGTACATGTGCGAGATGCTCGATACCCGGGCGACGTTGCAATTTTCGGATTGGAATCAGCCAGAGGCCGAGCTTTTCCGATCTTCAATCGGCACGCTTGGATCATGGGATCCATGCGAAGGATCAAAGGTTTCAAAGCCTAGGATTATCCAAGATTTCCAGTTCAGGCTTTCTTTGGGATCCAGGGTGTGTATGGTTGAGGGTTTTGGGAGTAAAGATATTTTTAGACCCTCAGTCCTGAGAGGCCATGCCATGCCCTTCCATGCCCGATAAAAAGAATTCGGCTGGCCACTCTAACCCAGAGGGTCCAAGTACTCCCTATTATAGGACTTTAGGGCCTTATTAGGTACCAAAAACCATAAATAAGGACTACCTGGAATCTTCGGGTAGGAAGGTAGGTTGTTTGTGGTTTACGGGAGGCCAGCCAAGGTTTCCCAATGCCAAAACCCTCAGCCCTTAACCGTGAACCCAAAACCGTAAACCCTAAACCCTGAACCCAAAGCCGCAAACCCTAAACCCTGAACCCAAAACCGGAAACCCTAAATCCTGAACCCTTAAGCGTAAACTCTGCAAAGGGACCTCCGAAAAGAGCCAACACCCTGAACCCTGGACCTGAAATCCCAAGCCCAGGTCCTATCTACCCTACCAGCTGCAGGAGGCTGCGGCGGTTCAGGGCTTCGGGGTTTAGGGTTTACGTGGACACTGTAAAACCTTCGTTTTTAGGGTTCGCTGCTGTGATTTCCATATTAAAGTCCTTCAACAGGGGGTCCAGGTAGGGTCTGGGCTTGGGGTGTGAAGGCTGTTGAAGAGCTTGAAGGGCTTTGGAGTCTGTGCAAAATAGATCATTCAAGGCTTTCTTGAGATGTTTGTGTCTGTAGGGTCAGTTCAGGTTTTACAAGGTGTCGTGGACCTTCAACTTCTGATGTGACGCTAATCGCCAAACACTAACAGAGTAAACGCTCACAGTGAACCTTGAAGCCCAGCCTTTGCGCTTAGACCCTAAGCCTCAAATCAAAATCCTGAGCCCAAGACCCTGGCCCTCAAAGTCTAGACCGCAAGCCCTAGCCCTCCACTCGGATACCCAACAGATGATACCTTTAAGTCGCTACCTGGCTTTTCGATGGACCTTGAACAGTAGCATCCTTCCTCTGAGGTTTAGGGTTTAGGGTTTAGGCCTTAACGCTGCAAACGCCATGAAGAAACTTTCTAAACCCTAAACCCTAAGCCAGCCCTAAACCCTGAACCGTAAACCCTAAACTCCACCTCTCCTGGCCTACTGGAATTGTATTGAATCAGATGTTGCCTCGGTGGAATGAGGAGTTAAAAAAAGAAAACCCTAAACTCCGAACCCTAAACTCTAGACCATCCTGTACCCTGAACTGTAAGCCTTACCTTAAGCCGGAATAACCTACCTTTTTAGGGTTCCTTATTATGATTTCCTTATATAAGTCCTTAAAAAGGTAGGTTATTCCGGCTCAAGGTAATTTCCGAACCCTAAGCCCTAAGCCTTCTCAGGACGTCTTGCTGTGGAGCCAGGGTTTAGACGACGAGCCGCCAGATCGGATCCCAATGAGCTGCCTGGCTCGGAACGGTTTACAGTAGAATAATTCGAACAGGGTTTTGGGGACCACTATACTGTAGTCATAACAAGGAACCCCCCCCCAAAAAAAAATAGTATAGGTAAGTCTCAAGGCCCCTATATTACAGTAGAAGCCCAAAAAATTGAAGCCCCGTAGCCTCGATCCTTAAGAGTAATGCACAGGGAACCCCAGCACTATTTGGCCTTAATGCTGTTTCCAACTTTATGGGGGGTTTACTGTAGGACTTTTAAGGGGTTTTAGGGTTTAAGAGCTTCAAGGCATTCAGGGTTTTGGGGGTGGCTGTAGGTTACGTTTTACAGCGTTCTCGGGTGGTGTTTCCTGGGCTCATGATGTTTTTTTGATGTGTTTTGCTTTTCGATTTGACTGTTAGAGCTCAGTCTCTTCTCCTGTTGCTTGCTTTTTGGAGTTGGGTTCATGGGATTTGACTCTTTTTTTTTTCAGTTTCGGGGTTTTGTGGTTTTAAGGTTTGAAATTAATGGTTCTGGATTTTGGAGTTCCATGGGTTCCGGGTGATTCATGGTTTTGGCATCCCGATTCCCGGACATAACAGTATTTTGCGTGACTCCCCCACTGGCCATAGTAGGATTCCTTTGTTGAATTTCTTCGATGTTTGCACCCTGCAGCCAAATATGCCGGTGCCTTCTAGGGTAAAGCGCGAGGCTTAGTGTTCAGGGTTCTAGGCTTCAGGGTTTAAGGGTTTTGAGTTCGAGTAGACCCCCAGTCTCTGAGCTCTACACTTGGATCTCCTCATGTTGGGCTTAGGACTCATCTTCCTCGACGTCATGCAGAGATCCGTGGCTGCAGAGAGATTCGGGATTCCCTTGAAGATTCAGGGATTTCACGTCCTGTCGTGTTTGGGCATCTTTCTGGAATCCGCTATTCTTTCGTGAGGGGCGGGAGGGAGAGAGAGAGAGAGAGAGTACTTGATGGCTGTAGCCGAGACCATGTTTATCGATCGTTCGTCACCCCTCACACCTGCCAACACGGCGGGGGGGCATGATGCCCGAGGGCATTGATCGCGCCCTCATGCCCAGGAGAGAGAGAGAGAGAGAGAGAGAGAGAGAGAGAGAGAGAGAGAGAGAGAGAGAGAGAGAGAGAGAGAGAGAGAGAGAGAGACAGAGACAGAGAGAGAGAGAGAGAGAGAGAGAGAGAGAGAGAGAGAGAGAGAGAGAGAGAGAGAGAGAGAGAGAGAGAGAGAGAGAGAGAGAGAGAGAGAGAGGGAGAGAGAGAGAGAGAGAGAGAGAGAGGGAGGGAGAGAGAGAGAGAGAGAGAGAGAGAGAGAGAGAGAGAGAGAGAGGGAGAGAGAGGGAGAGAGAGGGAGAGAGAGGGAGAGAGAGGGAGAGAGAGGGAGAGAGAGGGAGAGAGAGCGAGAGAGAGGGAGAGAGAGGGAGAGAGAGGGAGAGAGGGAGGAAGAGAGAGGAAGAGAGAGAAGAGCCCTGATCACGTCAAGGGATGCCGGACCCTGTGGGCACGCACAAGCGAGGGTCGAGGGATGTCGAGGGTCAATGTCTACACCTGAATAAGGCTCGCTCACTCTGTCTTTTTCTGTCTTCTATATAAAGAAAAAGGTATAGAAGCAGATAAGCAAGCGTGTGCAAATGGATGGGTTTAGAACCAGTTTCACGCAGAGCCCTCGTGGCGGCTGGTTGCTGAGCGGGGTCGTAGAGGGTGACGTCTGGTGTAGCACAGGGTCATGTTGCAACGCTTGTCTGGCTACAGGTCCTAATTAAACCCTAAACCCTAAACAGGTCATCACGGTTTAGGCTCGGGATTTCAGGTTTCAGGTTCAGGCAAGAGTAGGGCGATGACTTGAGACAGCCCCGGGTTCCTCCTTCGTTCTTTGGAGTTCCTGCGTCTGCGCCGAAGGAACCGTCTGCAATGAGCTGGAGGAGGATCGCTGAACGGAGCTCAGCCGGCCTTGTTTGTTCATGTGCTGTAGAGAAGGATCTTGAGAGACCCAGCTTCCCGAACCTATACCCCAATCGCCATACTGGAAAAAGCTCTATACCTAAAGACCTATTTAGAAACCGAATCCCTGGTTGACTCGTCCGAAACCACAACACCTGCATCGGTTCGGATTTGGGGCCAGGGGCCGACTTCCACACCAGGAAATTGCAAGAGATGAGTATTATTATTATTATTATTGTTATTATTATTATTGTTATTATTATTATTGTTATTATTATTATTACTAATATTAATATTACTATTACTATTATTATCATTACTATTACTCTATCTCAGCCGGGAACCTGGAAGACTTCACCCCGAAACCACAGATTCCCGAAACAACCGAGCCCGGAAGCCAAAAGCATACAGTGTACACCCTAAGCTCAAAATCCTTAGGCCCGCGGCTATCGCACCTTAACCGCCTTCAACATTGCAAATCCCGGTCGGTCCCAATCAATCCCTGAAAGCCATGAAACCTCAAACCCAAACCTTCATGAAGGCTCGTCTGGAGAATTTTATCGACCCCCTAAACCTTAAACCGTATAAACCCTAAGCCCTAAGCCTAAACCCCTAAGCCTAAGAAGACCAAAACCTGTACCCGAGCTCCCAACAGCAGCTGCGCCGAGTCCTCTCCTGCAACGAATCGCACGCGAACTGGCCTTGGCCGCTGCCTTAGTTTTCAGGTAGGGAAACGTAAGGGGAACATAATAATAATAATAGAAACAGTAGTAATAAAGATAATGATAGCAATAGTAATAATAATAATAGTAGTAGTAATAATAATAGGGGTTTCATAGTGTTTCTAGCATTCGAGTTCTATCGGGGGCCACCAGGCGCTTAGATCCGAGAAGAGACATAATCGGCCTGCCAACAGACCTTACGTTAGGCTTGAGGGGTGCGTTCGTTTTCAGTCCCTAAACCCTGTACCTCCAACAAAAGCCCCACATAGGAGTACCGTTGGTGAATCCTGACGGAGTACCCTGAACACTAAACCCTAAATGAGCTTCCTATACAACCCCCCGTAAACCCTAAGCCCCTAAACCCTAAGCCCCTAAACCCGAAGCCCTGTAAACCCTAAGCCCCTAAACCCGAAATCCCAACTGAGCATCAAAGGCCGCCGCGAGGAAGCCTGCAAGTTGTGGACGAGGCGGGCTGAAGGGCATCCCATACAGAGGCCTTTAAAACTAGAATAGGGCTCCTTTAAAGGGGCCTTAATAAAGGGTTTATAAGGGTGACTGTAAGGGTTACTATACGGGTTTAGTATGTATAGGGCCCTTAACAAGTACCTATACTATATTTTGGGGGATAGTACAATGGGCCCCCAAACCCCGTTCTAATTCTTAAGGCCCCTACATCAGGCTTTCGGGTTCCTGGGTTTTCGAGTTGAGGGCTTTTCAAGGGATTTCCAGATATGGTGCGCTCAGTCTCATGAATGCGAAGTTGCAAGTGTGTTAGGGGTTTTATACCTGCTTTCTCAGGATGTTATCTGGTTCTAGAGAGTTTCAATCATAATGTAGCCGCAGCCATGTACATATGCGCTGCTATTCCTAAAACCAGAAGGCTTGCAAGGCATCCAGGGCTTGTGATGCTGGTTTCTGGCACCCATGTCCTCCACAGACTGGGATGCTTGAAAGGAACCTGTGGGCCGAAAATAGCGTCATCTACAAGGATGGCCCAGCACCCGAGACCCATCTCTAGTCCACACCCGATAACCGGAAGTCCTGAAACTTTGGATGCTGCAACCTTAAACTCCAAGTCCAAGGCCCTCGTGCCTGAAATTTGACTGCCATGAGGCCCGAAACCCCTTAGCAGCTCCACCTACTACCTGCATTCCCAGACCCTGCAGGGTCCAGACAGCAGAGACACACCGGTGTTTTAGTGGAAGCACCCCTGAGTTGTACAGGGTCCAAGTTCAGGGTTTTCTAATTTCCGGATCCCACCGAGTCTCTGAGTTCACAGGCATTCCGGAACTCCGTTCATCGTCAGAATGCCTCTCGGTGCTGAAGCCTCCCACCTAACGAAACCAAAAAGCTTGAACCGGAAAGGGAGAGGGAGAGCACAGTCCTAATATGGTACACTAAATAGTAGGATCCTTATAATGAGGACCCCAATATGAGGTAAGCCGAATCTACATTTAAAAGAAAAGAGCCCGCAAGCGCTCACGGGTTCAGGATTGACTTCGGACTCAGGAGTGGGGGTTTCAACTTTAGGCAAGCCGCTCGAGACTTTAGAGGTGGAGTTTGTGGCTCAGCAAGAAGCCATTTGTGATAGTACTTCTCTGTCAAGGGGATTAGTTACTCAAACTCCTTCTTGGCTAGTGCTCCGTCAGTTGCAATGTTCCGGTCTTTCATAAGCAGTTTGACATCCCCTTGTGTGCAGCGTGTTGAAGCCCTCTAGTGAGCGCCTTTCAGAATCCACCCTGAAACCTTAAATAAAAAAAAGACGCCCTAAACCCTACATCCCTACACCCTTGTTAAGGGTTTAGGTTCACCCTAAACCCGAAACCCCCAAACGCTGTACCCGAAGCCCAGGACGTCGTTCTCGTGAGAGTTCCTTTTGATTTCGAGCCCCTGGACTCGTGGCTTGGCCTTTCAAGACCATGTTACGAATGGCCGTCATCTAGCGGAGTTTCTATAGGACGTTGAATAGTTCTGCTAGGCTTTTTGTGTGTATTATCCATTCTTTCTCAGATTGGGGAACCCTCATGAATCATACTGGGAGTCGTGCTGGCTTCTATATTATGCGTTGTACCGGGGGGTCTCCTGGGTGGTTCTTGGCGCTCTTTCAGGCTTGTAATCGCGTGAATTTCCCTAAATTCGGAGGCCTTTCCTTCGGGGCTCCGTACGCTCGGGCATCGAATCTCGATACGGATAGCTGCACGGGTTGAGATGTGCGGTTTTCAGTATTGCTCAGATCCTTCGTTCGGATTGGGTAGGCATTTTGGTTGCAGTTTTACGGTCAGGGGAGTTGGAGTGGGGTTTGAGAGGAAAGCACTGCGGATTTAGGAACGAAATGTGTTTCCAGTTTCCTGCTTTTGACAACTCATAGCCTTCACCCTACGCTGGACCACTGGACCATCAGTCAGATGTCAAACCCCAGCCCGTAAACCCCTTAGCAGCACTTCCTGAACCAACGCCCCAAGACCCTAACCCCAAGCCCTAAACCCCGGTCGCTACCCTAGTTCGGGAGAGGCAGCGCATGGACACAAAAGGTGGTGCCCCAAACGTGAGACTGGAAACCTTGATCCCTGAACGCTGGGGCTGATTACCCGAACCCTCAGCACTACATCCTGACGCCTCCGCCCTAAGCCTTCCAGCAGCTCTGGGTGGCTGAGGTTCGGGTTTCGGGTTGAGGGTTTAGGGTTTAGGGATGGGATGGGATCTCTGGAGGGACCCTGACAAAGCACCCGGACTAGGATCCTTCCTGCACGGGCACCAAACTTCATGCATTGGTTTGTGAAACACCCAGAAAGGGCTGAGCTTGATACTCTTAATTGACGTAGATTACTACTACTACTACTACTACTACTACTACTACTACTACTGCTACTACTACTACCACTACTACTGCTACTACTACTACTACTACTACTAAAGGGCCCCATGAACAGAATGACAAGGTCAACCCTAAGACCTTCGTGTTGATTATGCAGGGACCTAAAGGGCCCCTGACGGGAAATAAGAGGCCAATCCTAAGACCAACGAAGACTTCCCAGATACCGGGGGCAGCCCGTCTTGGTTTTATCCCGCAAGGAACCCCAAAGGGTCCTATGTACCGATATAGTAGAATGTAGGGTTTCCATACTAGGAATTACGATTATGACTTAGGGAACCATCCCCCATAACAGTACAAAGGACCCTTTGGGAACATCAAGCCGAGGTTGGGTTCTCTAGAAGTGACGTCCCTGGCGCTGCTGGATGTGCGGTTCCTGCAGGCGACCGGGTGGTTGTCAAAATTAGGGCTCCTTTCTCAGGGGTAGATAGAAATAATTTTTAATTTTTGGTTATTATATCCCTTAGAAACAGCTAAATTACAAGTTTTGCTAGGGTTCGAAGTTCAGTATAGTTTTGGGGTCCTTACTATAAGACAGTACAAATTATTTAGGGTACCCAAAAATGGACCCCAATTTTGACGGCTACCCGAAGGTCGGTGCAGGGGCCACTGTCGGGATCAAGGATTCAGGGGTCCTTGGGGTTGGCAGTTGCGCGTGTCCGGGTTCAGGGCCTCTGGTTCAGGGTCAGAGGTCAGGGAAGAATGGTTTTGCTCAAGCCTCCGGACTCAGCATACGGCATTCGTCGTCCACTACTACCCAAAGAAATATGTAAACTCTTGAACTGAATACCAACATCTGGAACCCACGCCAGGTAATAGCGGATTGTTGGTTTTGAAGGGTTTCGCGACAAGGGGCTCACTCTCCTCTCAGGATGGTGGTTCCGGAGGGATTTCCGGTTCTGATTCGGGCCTTGGATGTGGGAGGCAGGTGATCCTTGCACTAGCACCTCACCTCTTAATGACAAAACCCCTAAACCGTACCAAAGGTGGGATCCGTAGGGTGCAGATGACCTGCTAGGCTGCTCCCTCACCTGCTGAGTGCCCGTAGGGTTCAGGCTCTCGGGTCTAGGGTTGAGGGCTGCAGATTTCCGGTTTCGGGATGCTCAGGGCCTTAGGGTTTATAATTAGAGTCCCGTTTTGGGTCCTTATTATAGTACGGCACCTAATATTTAGGGTTTCTCAAAAAGGGACCATAATTTTGACAACCACCCATATAGGTAATCGGGCAGCAGGAGTACAATGCTTGGTTTTCCATCATTGTGACCACGACGGCGATCATCCTGATCATCGCGCGGGGACCTAGCGGCCAGGGGTCGCTGGCTCTGAAGCTTGAAGTGGCATGCATCCTATGTCCTCAGCCCGAAACTCCCTTTTCTGAAGCCTACTAATCTGACCCTGGCCCCAGAGCGTATTCCTTTTACTCTTTCTCATGATACTGATTATCACCAGTCTGTATCTTACCGTCCTCATTATTGCCATCTTAGTTATTGCTATGGTTGTGATAACCGCGACCTGAAAACTGTGCTTTAGACCATGAGCCCCGAGATTCCGAAATCTTGAAAGATATGCCTGTCTATCTATCTATCTATCTGTCTATCTACCTATCTAAGCAGTCTATCGATCAGTGTGTATGTATATGTACACGCTTTGCTTATTTGTATATCTGTATCTGTATCTATATCTATATATCTATATCGTCTATTTCCGTATCTTTATCTATATCTATATCTACTTCTACAGATACATCTAGATCTAGATCTATATCTATACCTCTCCCTCTCTGTATATATATATATATATTATATACACACACACGTAGATATAGAAGCATGAATGATGAGCCAGGTGTTTCCTTGTTATATTTCCGAGTATAACAGACTTAAACCCCACCGTAATTCTATGTCTGGGCTTTCTTGTTACCATTGCAGGATAATGTCACCCAAAATACTGTTCCAAGTGCTGAGGACCCGATACTAGGTGGCGTTGAAGTGTTTGCTTTCTGGCTCAGGGTGAACCTACAGCACGGTTTAGAAAGGGTTTTTCATGGGTTTTTGGGGTTTCGGGCCAAGTGGTTTTATTTGGGGGGTTAAGGGTCCACGGCTTTGGGCTGTATGCGTTTCGGGGTCAAGGAGTACAGGCTTTTATGGCTTCGGGTTGTGCGGGTTGGGGTTCGGAGTCTACGGCTGGATTTCGTTGGGTGTTGGGATGAACATGACTCCTTCCACTTTTGACCGAAGCAGTTCAGCACCGAGATCGCACGGTAGTGTAGGGGGCCGACAGGTCTCAGTTCAAGCTGGACTCCGAGGGTTTACGTAAGGTGTTTAGGGTTCAGGTTTAAAGGTTCAGAGTCTGCGGTGCAGGGTTAGGGAAGAAGTTTTTAAGAATCGGGGCTGTAGGCTTCAGCCATGAGTATCAGGTTCAGGCCTAGGGTTTAGGGTTTAGGGTTTAGGGTTTAGGGTTTAGGGTTTAGGGTTTAGGGGTTTAGGGTTTAGGCTTTAGACTCTTCAGGGGCTACTCAGGAACCTAGAGGTTCAGACCGATGAAATCCCTAAGGTCGGCATCTTCGCCTTCACGCGAGAGATTAGCACCCTCTCCTCGTGGCTCGGAATGTCTTTCGTGGGGTTGAGGTTTTAGGAGTTATTTCCACAACTCGATTCATATTCTTCCTTAGTGTTCCTTGAAATAATTGTAACATAATGTAGCCCCAAACCCGAGTCTACTTATTGTGGCTCCTCCGTCAGCGTGCACCGGGGTCTTTGGAGTACTTTCGTCGCAGGTTATTGAGAACTAAATCGCACCGGGGCCTCAGGCATCGGAAACGTAAGACTCATCCTGGATCCTGCTTATGTATGCCATTTATAGTAAGGCAGCTGGTCAGTTCGCTACTGAAGTAATTGAACAACAGACGGACCTTCGCTGAACGCCAACGCCATAGTCTTATGGTGGTGATCGATAATGACGATAATGCTACTCCTTTTGAGTTTCGAATGTAACTTTGCTCTGTAGAGCGGTTATGCTTCGAAAGTTCTAAGGCAGCTTTGGTGCGGGGTTCAGGACAAAGGGTTTAGCAACGTAGGCTGGCGTGGAATGCTTGATACTTGGATTTATATACTTGCAAGTAACTATCGTTTGAAATGTTAGTGGCCCCCCAACATCGGTGAAGCTTGAAGTACAAATGAAGCTCCTAGCGCTGGGTCTTCGTCAAAGCTTTTCCATAAATCGTCGCGACTTGTACCTCTTTGCCCCTTTTGACTATTCGGTGTCCCAAGCTGGTTTCCATGACCCCATCTTCGGTGTTCAGTGGTCTTTACACTTCCTGGGCTGGCGCAACCCTCGAACAAGGTGAACCTTTGAAGCCCATGGTGCTGGACAGGTAAGCCAGAGAAGAAACTACCACAAAGACTTGGCCCATCTCTTAGGGGTACTTAGAAATATTTTTTGATTTGTGGTTATTGTAATCCCTAAGAAACAGCACAAATTCTAATTTTTGCTAGGGTTCTAAGTTCAGTATAGATCTTTACATCATCCCAGAGAGCTAGAGTCCCCTCTTTTCGGCCCTTCCCCGAATCCGTGGCGACGGGTCTTCGTCAAGGTGATCGGAGTTCCCTGCTTAGGTTCGGAAAACCTTGACCCTAAACCGAAGATCCCTTAATGGGAGGTTCCTACAAAGTACCCTTATAGTAGTATAGGGCCCCAAATTAGGGGATCTACTCTGATCGACGTGTTCGGTTCCGTTGAGAGACTTCCTCTTCCTTCCGAGGGGCCTCCTGCGGCCCATCCGGCTGCTGGCAGATGACATGCAGCGCCTTGGGGCATTATGCTTTCGGGGCCTTAATAACTACATATACTATTTTGGGGTCTCCTTGTTATAATTACAGTATAATGAGCCCCAAATCCCTATTCTAACTACTCGGGCACGCCCCGTATTATGCTTTTGGGTGTTTCGTGGTTCAGCTTTGGGGTGATCTTAGTAGCATTGCCCACATTGAGCATCGTCGTTGTCATCGTCCTCATCAGTAGATTTGTGATTCTGTGGAGTCAGCAGTGCTTCATTTACTGCGGCAAGCCTACGAGAGCACATAGCTGCTGGCAGGTGTTTGTGACAGATTTCGTTCGCTACACAACTGCGCATTGGCAAAACTTGGTGAAACTGCCATTGCAGCGCCGCGTTTGTTCCGACATCATCCGCGAGCAACTGCTAAAGCTCCATGCACTTGTAAGCAGAGCGAACATACCAGGTACTTTGCACTACATCCACAGGAAGCACAGCCTGTGCAATACATATCGCGTATACTCCCGAAGGGATCCTATTGCTTGCACTGTGTCCGGTGCTGTTGGCCAACGTCTCTAAATGGACACGCAGAGAGGACAGCTGGAGGCTGCAACATGCTGCAGAGCCTTTCAATCTAGTCACTAGTGACGGTGTCACAAAGATACTTAAAGACCCTAAACCCTAAACCCTAAGCCCCGAACCCCAAAGCGGTGTCACAAGATACTTGAACCATGAACCCTAAACCCCGAACCCGAAAGCCGGAACATCCTTGAACTGTAAAGCCCCCAACACGCCCTGAGCCCTGAAGTGATAGTTGAAGCAAACGATGATGGAAAGCCCCGGAAAGCTCACACTTTTGGGAGAAGCTCCGATGTGGGTGGTGGTTCCACAAGAGACTCCTGACCAGTTAGACCTCATACATGCTGAGGCTTACTTCGCCACACTAATCCCTACAGCACAGGCCCTACTGGCGAAGACCTGCATCATCAACTTTCCCCCAATGCGGAACCAAAAACCCTGAACCCCAAATCCTAAACCCTGACAGCTAGGTAGGCCTTTGGGATATTTTATGTTTCCCCTTAATGAGCTTAATGGGACTCTATTTACGAATATTTTTCAGAGGCTTTAAAGGGCCAACCTACACAGTGAAGCGAAAGCCCTGCACCCGTGGGTCCTAAACCCTAAGCACCGCACACTACCTGTAGTCTCCATTGTAGTTCCTGTTTTTGGTTAACCAAAATCTCTATTATAGGATCCTAACCATAAAACTGGTTAACCAAAAAAGGAACTACAATAGAGACTATAGGTAAAACCCTACAACCCCAAACTCCCTGAGCCCTTGCAGCCCAAGGAGTGTCACGCAGATGCAGTTGGCTGGGTTGTCCGGCGACAAGGCATGGAAGAAAAGGAGGGACTGCGACGATCACGGCTTCTGGTAGTATTATGGTCTGGGGTTTAGGTAGGGTGATAGAGTCGTGTCATTGTACGTAATTACTACCAAACGCTACTCATGCCTATCATTCCACAATTCCTGGCTGCTTGACGTGCTGGTGACTTTGTGTTTCGCCGCAACTCCTTGTCCATTGACTTGATAAATCCAAACTCCTAGAAACCCAAGTCCAAACAGCCCAAACCCTGAACTGAGAAACTCCACAGCCCACACGCCCGCCGTAAGCCCACAACCAAGGATCTCCCAATCCTAAGGTCTAAACGTGGAAGCAGAGCCGCCGAAACAAAAACAAAGATGCGCAGGTCAGAGGCCCCGAAGAACAGGAAACGGGGCGAGGAAGAGGGAGACCGGCAGGGATTAGTACATCCCTAGTGGCCTATTTCCGCCACGACCGGCCCCAGAAGTGGACTGAGTGGTGCTCGCATCACAGTGGGAAGATCCTGGCCTCTCGTCGCCCAGAGGCGTGAGGAACTAGGAAGATGGCATGCACGGGGGTAGTTCTTATTCCCAATGGCTGGGTCGATCTGCATGCCCGTGGTGATCCACGATGGGGCGAAATTGATGACAAATCCTTGAACTGGGTGACGCATCGACATGAACATCAGTACCGTGGCGTTGGAGTTGGCTTCATTGTGTTGTGGACAGGGTTGCTCATCGAGGGATATGGATCCTTGCACGCCTCCCAAGGTGCAACAACCGACAGAAAACATTGAGTCTTTCAGCCATGTACAAACTATCCCTGGACCCTATACCCGATTGGACCCCGTCGCTGCTGTATCCTGCACCCTAAACCCCAAGCCTCAATCCTGCACCGTGCAACTTAAGACGTACTGTAATCCCCAAAACATAGGTCTATATACCTTGAACCCAAAGCTTGCACTGGGATCGTTGAGCAAGAGTGAGATGAGGCACGGGCACTTCGTCCCCTACCTTATGCTCCCAGAACCGACTGTTCAACAGTAGCTAAACATGAGCCTAATGTAGAATGCATAGGCACCCAACCAAACACCAAGTTATGGTACGTGAAAGTGGCAGCAGGTCCTGAAAGCGGCTGGAGCTTATGTAGCGGGATGGGGTTTTACGGTTTACGGTTTAGGGTTCGGGAGTTGGGTTCTAGGGCTTACAAGGTTCAGGATTCCGGACTTGAAACTTTTTCCGGCCTAAATATACACCGAACCTTACACATTCTCGCACGAGGCACCCCTGACAGGGACTATGATCCTAAACCCCTAAACCCAATAATCTCGCAAGTTAGCCTCCAGAATCCTCAAGCCGATATATACCTTTCAAACCGAAGAAGGTTCAGGGTATGGTCTGTGTTTCGCAGGTTGAGGGTTCAGGATAGAGGGTTTAGAGATTTGGGTTTTGGGGTATCTGGGTTTAGAGTTTTGGGGTTCAGGGGTTTAGGGTTGAGGGCGGACCTTGACCCCGGGCCAGAGTCGCACCAGGCGGTTGCGCACTTCGACAAAGGTGTCGCAGAGGCTCCGGCCGGGAGCGGGCTGTTGAAGCAAGAATAATCGTAATAGTCATAATAATAGTGATCATAGCAATGAAGTCATAACAATCATAAGAATGCCGCCGTGGAAATTTTGGTTCCACGAGTTCCAGTTCAGGGACAGATTAGCAATAATAGAGGCCTAACTCAGATACTTGCCAATGCTATTCCTCCTGATTCCTTATTGTAATTATACGATAAAAGAGCACAAAGCCCTGCTCGTATTACTCAGGGCTTAATGCAGTAAGTAGTTGTTACAACTTGCTTGCAACAAGGGTGGCTATGTTCAAGAGACCACCGTAGACCCTAGACGTGGCTGCTGGGAAGCGTGGTTTTTTTGCCAGCACAAACAGACTGGTGACAGGCAGGTCATGTGGGTGAGGATGGGGCGGGGGTCGCGGATGTGGGTAGGCGCCGGGTAGGAGGATTGGTTCATAGTCTGCGACGCCGCACAGGCCTGGTCGTTCCTCAAGTAACCCCGACACTCCGCTTGGTAGGCCCACCCAGCCCTCGAAGTACATATAGCTCTTGCTTCGAAGTCGCAAAAAATCCAAAACATACCCCACACCGATTGCCGCCAGAGATGAACGAAAACGTTCTATCGCTGAGCCCTCGAGTTTACCCTTTTGGGGTCAAATCCCCGAGTCGAAAGTACTTTATTGGGATGTTACACGGACCTATTTTGGTTGCAATCTATCTGACTAGAGTTGCATCAGTTCTAAGCTTTTCATCTGTGCCGATGTGCTGTCTGGTTGAGTCTTTCCAGAACGTAGAGCTGAGAGTCAAACGAGTTAGGATATGACGTTAAGGGTTAATTGTCGAGGGTTATTGTTCTAGATCACTGCAACAGTTTGCTGCTGCAATGCCAAACCCTCAGAGCTGGGCTATTGGCTCTCTCTGGCTCCCTCTGTCTGCCTGTGGTTTCTCCGCGGTTGGGATGCCAAACCCTCCAAATTGCCAAACCCCAAATCCTAAACCTTGAACCCTGAACCGTTATCCCTTGTTGGCAGATTCGCCTCATGAACAGCATCTTCGACAAGACGCGGCTCGTCCCACACGACTCATAACATACCCTGCCTTCGTCGCTATTCGGGGGTGGCGATCTAAGCTAAGCTATATCCTCCTGAACCCCACAACTAGTCGCCAGAAGACCCCTGACGCCCTCCATGCAGGAAGCCTGGCAACGTGCCTCTAAGTATCCTTTCCAAGAAGTACATCCGTAGCGTGAAGCCCAAGCCTACTGATACAAGAGCATCATACCTTTCCCCTATTCAGGCTGCCCAGCTTTGTGGTGATCTTCCTTTGCCGACAAACAGGTACCCTCAAAACGGGGTGGGACAGCGTTCTGGAATCTTGGAATTTCAGCTAAGATTTTTACACCCTCAAGCCTCAACCGTGAATGCTACTTGGAGGATCATCGGACCTAGTAAGTAAGGACGTGAGTACACCAATACGAGTTATGGGTACTTGTGGCTACAGTTTACCTTAGTGACGAAGTCACATGGGAGTTTCCGAATATTAGGGGTACCTTCTTTAGGGGTCCTTATAATAAGGATCCTACTATTTAGGTACTATATTAGGGTCCCCTATTTTCGGAAACCCCCACATGACCCTTTGCAAAAGCAATCTCCAAATCCGCAACCTGCACAGGAACAGCGAACAAAGGCAGCGCTGCATTGCTCTAAACTGCGCTGCAGATGTGGGTAGTTGTCAAAATCATGGTCCCTTTTTGGGTACCCTAAAAATTAGGTGCCGCATTATTATAGTAAGGACCCAAAAAGGGGCCCTAATTTTGACAACCACCCATGTGCACTCTCAATAGAATCAGCCATGCTACAAGCCCCTGGGCTGTGAGTGAAGACCCGAAGTTCGAAGCCTTAAGCCCTAAGCTCTTGGCCCTATAGATGGCTGAAACGTTCTCGTTTTGGAGCACATTAAAGGGATTTCCACCTCAACGAGATTTCTGTTGGAAAAGCCCTGCCGGAATCTCCGAGGAAGACGGCTATCCGGTCTTGGGGGAAGTACGTCCCATGGCCCGTGCCTGGACAACATGACAAGGTCTTCGGATGCTGTGTTCTGATGGGTTTTCAGGTTGTATGGGGCTTAATCGTTGTTTTGTTGGTTGTTTTGCTTTTTTGTTCGAGTGTTTTTAAGGGAGTGTAGTTGTGTTTTATGCTCTGAGTTTCGTGGGTTTTGCTGAGTGGTTTAAGTGGTTTGTAGGGTTGTAACAGGGTTCATGTGTGTTTACAGTTTACAGAGGCCTGAAGAATTAGCATTCAATCCGTCTGGACGTTTTCTTTTAATGTTACATAGTGTTTATCCACAAACCCTGACCTAGTTGTTCAGGCCTCTAGTATTTTGGGTTTACCTTAACCCCAAATAACCTACCGTTTTATGGACTTATATAAAGAAATCATATTGGGTAACCTTAAAAAGGTAGGTTAAAGGGGGTCCAGGTAGGGTTTAGAGGCTTGAGCTGCGGATTCAGACTCAGCCCTACACCGCAACTCTTTTCTCGGCCTGCTCTCCTCGCAGTTGTCCCATGCCACTAGCGGCTCCTGCGCCCTGGGGTTGTGGGTGGGTTTCCAGAGAACCCAATACCCCTTAATGAAGGGATATACCTTAAGTTATAAAAGCCTTAAATATTATGATTTAAGGTATATTCCTTAATTAAGGGGTGTTGGGATCTCTGGGTTTAGGGTTGAGGGTACGTTTTGGAGAGGTAGACCCGGCTGCGGGTGATGCTTCTCAGAGACCTTGTAGTTGAATTTCGAGCCCTGGCTGGCTAGAGATTTCTGAGTCTCGAAGCGCAGGCCCTAAAGGATTCTGACTCCGACGCCAAATCGTAGGTCCCTCCTTTTCGAGAGAAGCAACAGTTTTTGACGAGCACTCACTCCTCAGTCGTTGGCCCTAAGCCGTTTACCTCAAGCCAAGAACCTGAAGCCCAACCGTGGCTGAGGTGGTCCAAATCCTGTTGGCGGCAGGCGCGGGTTAAACCTAACACTCCCGAACTGCTTCACCGTGCTTCACCCTAAATGCCCTACACTCCAAAGCCCCTAAAAAGGCTCCCTAAACGCTAAAACAAAACCCTAAACCCTAAAAGCCCTACGCTCCAAAGCCCTGAAGAACGGCTCAGTTCCCAGACCCTCATGCAGCCATAAGCTCCTTTCCGTTGAAAGTTTCGGACCCGACACCCTCTATGAAGTGGAGTGTATCATGGGGGGTTAGTGTGTATATAATGCTCACGCGAAGAACTGGTGAGGGTTATGGCATATGGTTTTTGCGTTTTGTTTTGGAAGGCAGGCATAAGGACAACCTAACCACCCTGCACCTTAATCTCATATACCTTAAGCCCTAAGTCCTAAGCAATCCTCAGGCTAAACTCACATTCCCCAGTCCGAATCCCTAAGCCCGAAGCCCTAACCTCATGTACTGTAGGGGCCTGAATATTTGCGAATATTGTTCGGCATGTTCTTTTTCAGTATAGTGTGTTCTTCCATATACACCCAAAACCTTCTTGGAATCATTGACGCCCCCAAGCTGAATCCTTGTAGAAGTCCCTATATAAGTACCTTTTTGAAAGGAATCATATTCTAGTTGTCAAGGCTCCTACGTTCTCCCTGAGGCATCGACTCAGCTCTGAAGATCGGCGCGACCGAAGTGACGCGGCTTCGCTGCAAGCGGCGTGCTCTGATAGAAAAGTAGACAAGCGTCGTAGACCTTAAACCCTACAGCCCCGAAGGTTCGAATTTGAAGCCCCAGAGCCCCAAACTCTGAACCCAACAGGCAAGCCGAAGAAGCCTACAAGCCCAAACCCCATGATACTACTATTTTGGTTGTTTCTTAGTGTAAGTATGGTATACTGGGTCCCTAAAAGCCTATTCTGATTATTGAGGCCCCCAAGCCATGAGACGAGCCAAGGATGTTCTTCTCCGACATCGCATCCTTTACGACGATTGTGGAGAAGCTGCCTCCGGACTGTCTCCCAGCGCTTTTTGGGGGGGAGTCCTTTGAGGGGTTCCTTTGAGGTGGGGTTCGTTGAGGCTTCCTTTAAGGATTTATCTAAGTGATCTGCGGAGTGTCTCTTTTCAATAGTTTCGGGTTGAATTTTGGGGCCTTTTCCCAGAACGCTCGACTTGGCCAGGGCACGCTGGAATGAGACCCGCGGTTTCTCGGCCCCCTCTGCCCGACCTCCGCCCTTGAGGGCTTAGGGGTTTAGGGGGGCTCTAGGGATGAACCCATACATCAACCCTTTCTGCAAAATCCTTATGAAACCACGTTATCGTAAAACCCTGGCAGCCATGCTGCAAACCCTAAACCCTGAACCCTCAGGGTTTCAGAAACTTCTTGGGAGTTTCTGAAAATAGAGGACCCGAATATAGTACCCAAAATAGTAGGATCTTACTATAAGGATCCGAAAAGACGGTACCCCAAATTGTCGGAAACTCTAAACTCTTAACCCTAAAACCCTTTGCGGAACCCCTAAATAGATCCCTTTAAGGAACCCTCAAAGGATCCCTTTAAAGGCCCCCCCCCGCCCCCCCCCCGAAATTTTCGGAAAACTACCCCTTTTTTTTTCCAGGAGAGATCGTTGGTCCTCCTGAGCCGCTACTTCAACGACATGTCGCAGGCGCCAGCTTTCATAGGGCTCCAAAATGGGAGTTTCCGAATATTAGGGGTACCTTATTTTGGTGTCCTTATAATAAGGATCCTACTATTTAGGGTACTATATTAGGGTCCCCTATTTTCGGAAGCTCCCAAATTAGAAAGTTCGGCGTATTGTAGGGGCCTGAAAATTTCGAGTAGGGTTTTCCCTTTAAAAGGGATCCCTAAAGGGTTACTACAAGGGATACTGTAAGGGTAGTATGATATAGGGTTCCAGAAAGGCCCGCCTGCTGCGGCAAACATAAAGTCAAAGGGGAAAAGGAGGGACCCTTAATTTAGGGCTCTTAGGGTTCCTTTAAAGGGATCTATAAGGGTTTAGGGTTTAGGGGATAAGGAGGGACCGCTTATTGGGGACCCCTACCCTATAATGGGCTATATAAGGGGTATATAATGGCTAGATTAAGGGCGGTTGTCAAAATTAGGGTCCCTTGTTGGGTCCCTACTATCATACGGCACCTATTATCTAGGATAGCCAAAAAGGGAACCATAATTTTGAGAACCACCCAAAAAAAAGTACCCCAAACCCTGAAGCCTAAGCCCTAAAGCCTAAACACCTAAGAAGGAGCCTCATGGAGCCTCACAATGAAGGGTTCTGGAGTTTTGGTGCGTGTGTGTTGGGGCAGTTTGGGCAGATGGTGCCCCGGACAGTATAGATATACAAGCGGATCTAATTTAAATGCCCCTGAGAGAAAGTGGAAGGGGTCACAACATGAGGGCTTGAGCCCAGTGGTTATCGTCTGTTGTACCATGTTAACGAGGGCTTGGGCTAAGCTTGTGTAGTATGTTGAAGTTGGTGAAGTTAGATAAAAGCATGTCTCAATATATGAAGTATTTTGGTTGATATTGGCATGTTATTCTGAACCCCTCTGAATCTCGAGCTGAGCCAGGTTATTGACAGCCATGGCGGCATCGTGATTGCCCCTCGGTTGCAGTTGCGGACGGTCTTTAGTAGAAACTCAAGGGAGTAACTTTGTTTTGGGCTCAAGAGGCTTGTAGAGTAAGGAGGGACCTAGCTTCGACACAGGGCTGAAAGCTCCAAACCCCGAACCCTAAGCTTCCCTCCGAACCTGAAGCCCTAAGCCAACTCCTAAGCTCTAAACCCAATGCACAGAACCTGGACAGGCTTAAAAGAGACCCTGAGCTGAGGAGTTCATTGGCGATGCCATCCTCTCCGTCTTCGGTGCGCCCTTGCGGAACCCGCAGCACGCCGAGGCACCTTCAGAAACGGTCTGGGCTGGCGTATACCATTACTACACCCTGAGTTTTGACAGAGTCTTGGGTTTCCTATAGAAGCCCGAATGCTTGGTGACGCTTTATTTTCCGCGCATGGTGTTTATCAAGGCCCTTTCCTGGGTGTAAGCTGGAAACTCTCACCAAACCTAAGCCCCGAATCCTAGGCCTTGAAGCCCATGCATGCGCTCCAGACTCCAGTCGCAGACCCTGAGCCCGACACCCTGATCCGCGATTAGGGTGGGTTGTCAAAATTAGGCTCCCTTTTAGGGTCCCTAATATAGTACGGCATCGATTATTTAGGGTATCCCAAAAAGGGGCCATAATTTTGACAACCACCCATTAGTTAGTGACTTCATTGTCATTGGTATTGTCAATATAAAGTAGCACCGGCCATTATTCGTTATTCGTAGTACTACAGCATCACTTGGGTATGTGGTTAACGCAATTGTCAGTAATTAAAGAATATTACGATTACCAGAAATGTTAAAGTATTCTGCTTTTCTGAAGGATACTTCTCAGTTTCGGTACGGATTGCCCTCGCTGAAGGCCTGCGTAAAAGCCACATGGAGAATGCTGAAGGCGGGACCTGTGAGTTTAGGATTCAAGATTTAGCATGTGTAAGGATTCGGGTGAAAGGTCGTTCAAGCCAAGTATCCGGGCTGAAAAGTCTTTCTGGAGAGGGGTTTTCGGGCTTCAGTTGTGTTCCAAGGCTTGTGGGTGTCGAGCCCGATCTTCGGGACCCGAAATCCAACAAACCCAAAGCACGTACAATTTCATCCCTCAGGCCGAATCCCAAATTGTAGAGTCTACATTTACCCTAAACCCTAAAACCCCCCAAAGGCTACTCGTGTCAGTGTCACGCTACACACTGAGACTTTTGGTGGACCGGGATCCACATATCACCTTAACACATCCCACGGAACGGGGTTTTGTGATCCAGAACGTATTGGTCTCGGGGGACCACTTCAAGCTTTATCGGCCAAAGCTCCGCTGGCAGTCCCTGGATCGTATCAACGCCTGGGCGAAGAATCGCGAGCTGCAGCTCGTCAGTATTCAGGGCTTGAGGCTGATGTCTTGGGTACGGCCCCTACTCAGTAATAGTTGAATAGTATTCATAATACAGATATATTAGGACCTTAATAGTAGCCCTATTATAGACTCTTACTGTATGGGGGCAGTACCTAACTGATGTCAGTTTAGAGTCTAAAGGGAACTGGGTTGCATGTGAATCTATGGGGAACCCTCAACCCTGAACCCTAAAGCCCCTCAAGCTAGGAAACCAGCCCCAGACGCCCTAAAGTAAAAGCCAGAAAGTTGGAATATGATTATCCTAAACCCTTTATGGTAAATTATAGGGTCTCCTACCCTGAAACCATATTCCAACTTTCTGGAGTTCCCTTTAGACGGCATAAAAAAAGCAACGGTAACAACAACAAAGCAAGCTTAGCAACCCCTATGGCCTAGTAAGAGCGCTGCAAGTCTCAAATAAGGTTGCGCCACGTGGAAGTGTCCGAAAATGAGGGGTACCTTTTGTTGGGGTCCTCCTAATAAGGATCCGACTATTTTAGGGTACTATGTTGGGGTCCCCTATGTTCGGAAACTCCCATGTAGAGTCGAACAGTCGGGATTCAGATGCCCAGGGGTCAATGGAAGACGCTTCGAGGTTCATGGCTTTAGGGTTTAAGGTCGGGGTACTTAGAAATAGGTTTTAATTCGCGGTTATTATAATCCCTAAGAAACAACTAAAATTATAATTGTTGCTAGGGTTCTAAGCTCAGTATAGTTAACTAGGTGGCAATTTGGGAAACTTGTTAATTTCCCTCATGGTTCCTATAGAGGTACCTATTCATAAATACTTTTCAGAGCCCCAAAACTACAACCCAGTTAAGGTTGGCTAGGACCTAGAGTAGGCCCTTATGCCCTTTTTGTAGGGTCCAGGTTCCCTTATAAGCCCCTTTAAACCAAAAAGGGCACCCTTTTTATTCCTAGGTTACTCTTGGGTCTAGTTGGGGTTTAGTTCTGAAGTTCTGAAGTTGTGAATCCCGATGGACTTCGGGAGCCGAACATCTGAAGGGTTTAGGGTTTAGGGTTTTAGGGTTTTAGGGTTTAGGGTTTTAGGGTTTAGGGTTTAAGGTTTAGGGTTTTAGGGTTTAGGGTTTAAGGTTTAGGGTTTTAGGGTTTAAGGTTTAGGGTTTTAGGGTTTGGGGTTTAGGGTTTCCCCCAAACTCGGAGCCTGGATGTTGGAGGATCCAGGTGGGTAGGAGGGTGAGGGTTTAGGATGGTTTAGGCTTTAGGATGTAGGATGGTTTGGGTGTTTAGGGTTCAGGATGGTTTAGGCTTCAGGATTTAGGTGTTTAGGGTTTGAAGGTTTATAGGGTTTGAGGGTTCAGGTGTTTACGCTCAGGCCTTGGCGTTGGGTCAGAGGGCGAGGAACACATGCGAAAAAAAGCTCACCTACCACTTCCTCTGGAAACTACGGGGCTTCGGATGCTGTGCTAACCCCACAGCTCCCATTTCGAACTACCCAAAGCGGATACAAAGAAGCTTTAGGTTTCTTTTCCTCAGCAGTGTAAACGAACCTTAAAGGCATCGTAAGCATTTTTCGCAGGGCCCGCGGAACTAGTACTCAAAGATGGTGTGTCCTTTGCTCGTATGTTGTAGGGTTTACGGTTGTAAACACCAGCTTTCGGACACCCTTAAGTCCTGGACCCTAGGCCCACCCGTGAACCGCATCTGAACGCTCAGGCCCCACATCGGCATCCGCTGTGGGGTACATACCGGTGAGGCCTTGCCGCGTCCTCCGGAAGCTCAAAGAGCCTTCCGGCCCTCAGGTTTTCACAAGGTGTGTTAAAGGTTTCTTTAAGGCCTTTGTAGGGTTTGCTCCGGTCTTCACAAAACTTTTACTTATGAGTTCCTGTAAGGCCGTTAGTAGGGTGTTCATACTGGGGTTTGGCAACCGGTTAAGGTGCCCAGAAAACTGAGGATGTTCCCATATTCCTCTTATGCCACAAGCTCGCATCCTGAAGCCCATTTTTTATCGGAATCCAAAGCCCGGCTCTCTTAAGCGCACATACTTGCTTCCTATCATTCGGATCAAGATAGTTTCTAGCCCCGAGCCTACCAGAAAACACTCTGTGTAGGGCCCGCCTCATCAGAACAACGTTCTGTTGTTGTATGTTAACTAGAGTATCCTGAAAGCAGGCAAAACAAGGGGGCGTTGTTTGTACAACAAAAGGATACTGTTACTAATGATTTCCACCTATATATCCTACTAGTTGGGGGAAGGAGTGTGATGCAGGCGCCTAAATGACGAGAAGAAGGCTTTGGTGTGCTTTGAATCTTTTATAGCATCATCTTACGAGGACAATAAGAAGACCTATCAGGAATAGTCTTTCGGGCTCGTTTCTGCTTTCGTACTGCAATTTCGCAAAGCCCCAAACCCCCTACACCCGAAGCCTCAAACCCGCTGGCAGGTCTTGGTTGGCAACATGGGCTTCCATTCGCGGATCAAGCTCCCCGGCTTCAGTATGAGTAGGGTTAAGGTATTGAGAACTGGGTGTAGGGGTTGGAGGAATTAGTGAATAGGGGGTTGGAGGATGATAGGGGCTGTACGGGCGTTTACACTTGGCGGGTGTTTTTCAGGTTTCATGGGTTTAGGTTTCGTAGTCCATGCTCTACGGTGAGGTCGATTTTGGGGTTTAGGATTTCAATGTGCCAAGTTCTCCACGCTTTGGTCCGTTTAGGGCTGCTCGGTCTAGGTGTCGGTTTCGGGTTCCGGCGTCATAAAATTCGTGGCCGCCCCTCTGCCTACTGCCTAAGCGCCACAGCCATAGCACTTCCGACAATCTGTCTCGACAGGACCAGCTCTTACTACTCGCGGTGTCCTGATATACTTCTAGTGCTGAAACCCCAAACCCTGAGTTGATCTGTTTTTTTTTCCGTCTTCTCTAAGAAGCACCCTGATTTCATTCTGAAGATGTAGATATTCTTAATACTCACCATACTTGAAACCATACACTACCCCAAATCCTACGCTCCGCACCCCGGCCCTAAACCCTAGCCCTTTGCCCGAAAACCGCAGACGCAGTTCCCTGAACCCTAAACCCCGAAACCCCGGCACCCTAAACACTAAACGCTAAACCCCTAAACCCTAAACCCTAACCCCTAAACCCTAAACCCTAAGCTGAAAACAAAGCCCCACTCGGTCTTCCGAGGTACGGCACGATGGGAGAGAACGCAAGTATTCCTTCGAAGCTGGAGGAGCTGAACAAGACGCACCTTGCCCCGCAAGGGGAAGGGGGGGGGGGGGTGTCATGCATTTAATGCACAGTTTCGAGGGGTTACGGTATCATATTCGGTTGAGGGCAGTAGGTTTTGTTCGTGCTAAATCTGCTCCGCGTTCAGGCCATGGAGGGGGGTAGCGTCATACCCTAAACCCTATAGATCCTTCATACTCTGAAGCTCTGAACGCCAAGAGGTCTTGCTCGATGGTTCGACGGCTGATACGTTTTTGGTTGTTGCGTTGGTTATCTAGAACCCAGAGTAGGCCCTTATTCCCTTTTTTAGGTTTAGGTTCCCTTCTAACCCCATTTAAACCAAAAAGGGCACCCTTTTTTATTCCTAGGTCACTCTTAGGTCGAGTTTTTGTATCATCAGAATAAGTAAGGTGATGATCGTCTATCGGCTTTTATTTGGGGGATCCTTCATCGTAGTAGGGTTTCGGCATATAGGCTATAGCAAAGTACATCAAGGAGCCCTAAGGAAAAATGCTGGTAGCTCTTCGACACCCATGTTATTATGGGGACTGCGTCGGATGCATAGGAGCTCGAAGCCGCGCACAGAGCCTTCAGTTCTTTCTCTCGGGTTCTTCCAGAAGGTTCCTACAATACAGGTGGTTGTCAAAATTATGGTCCCTTTTTGGTTCCTTATTATAATACGGCACCTAATAATTGGGGTACCCAAAAAGGAACCACAAGCTTGACAACCACCTTAATCTCATTCCGTACTTCTAGCAAGAGAGAGGGGCCCTACTTTTAGAGGTTCTGGGGGATTCTTGCTTGCAGAGCGCCGGCAGAGAGTCTGCAAGGTACAGCACTACGAACCTGGTGTCTGAGGAGCTTTTTGTTTTTTTCGGGTTAGGGTTTAGGGGTTTAGGGTTTAGAGGGTGTTGGGGTTTCGGGGTTTAGGGTTCAGGGTTTAGAGTTTTTGGTAGGGTTTGGGGCTACATAGGTGTTGGGGTTTCAGGGTTTAGGGTTTAAAGTTTAGGTTTCGTGTTGGGGATTCAGAGTCATGTGTTTGGGGTATAAAGTTATCGAAGGTATCACGCACCTTGTTCTAAACCAGCGGCCTCCAGGTGAAGCAGTCATTAGTAAATTAGTATCGGCTGAGGCATGTTTCGGGATCCAGCATGGAGTTGGCATTGGGCTCCACAGGCATTCCAAGAACAAGAACCACCAAAAAGGGTTCTGCAAGGCTCGTAGCAGGAGTTGGAGGCTTTCCTGATGGTTTTCAATGCCCCAAATTTAGGTTTTCGCAGAATCCTCTGTAAATAAGGGTTGCGGGAGCGTGACAACTAGGTGCCCTTGCTCTTGCACGGCTGCCCGGAACCTACCGTAGCAAGAGTCCGGCCGCACAACTCTTAACTCAAGACCGCTGGGGGCACCTCAACATGATAATTACGCCCCCGCCCGACATGTTGCCTACAATTGTATAGATGGCTCTGTGACGCTAGCCCCTCCAATGCAAGGACCAGCCCACAGCGTGTTTAATGGTCAATCCTCTTGTGTAGCACTGCTGCTGCTATAATTGAAGTTTCGAGATTCTGTGCTTGAGACCTTCACAAGTATTGCTGCCACCATAATCATTGATTCTCAACCTCTTGATTTGTAGAATCATAGACACCTGTCCATTCCCTTGATCAGGTCAGCTAACCCCGTAACCTAATCCCAATACTTGCTTTGCGGAGGACACCTGGCTGAACATGCCGTCTGGCTCCTTTGTCATGAGGCGCCTCTCTAACCACGAGCGTTGAGAGACGTTCGAGCTTCGAGGGTGAATGTGGGTTGGTGTACCTTGAACAATAGCATTACGTCCTCTCTTCTTGAAGCTATATATCTCATTTACAAAGGATGATTTGGCTACATCTCTAAACCCTGAACACTAAATACTAGATCTCTGATGAAATTCAATTACGGGGTATGGGGGTTCATCTGGACCAGGACCGAGGATTTGGCCGGTTTTGGGGTTCCAGGGCTTTACGGTTTCGGATTCTGTGGTTTGCGGTCCACGGTGGGTTTTGGGTTTAGGTTTTAGTGATTGTTATAGACACTGGGAGCTAGGATGTTTGAACACTAGACCCCAACCACTTCACCAACAAGACTGAAGCCCTAAAGCGTATGTGCGGTCATGCATAAGCCTACACAGCGAAGTTTCGCGGGTGAAGGATGTAGAGTGCCGGAGTTCAAGGCGTACAGCCTCATCATAACATCCATTCCAACATGTCCCACGACAACAAGGCGATTGCAAGAAAGTACTCCGCAAATCTTCAAGCTCCTGGGTCCAGAGTGCATCCTGCGAGACTCGAGTTGCCAACCCCCGAAGCTTAACCACCAAAGCTTCAGCGTTACACCCAAAAACCCTAAACCCTAAGCCCTGAACCCTAAAACCCAAAACCCTCAACCCAAAACCCTAAACCCTAATCCCTAAACCCGAAGACCCAAAACCCAAAAATGCTAAACCCTTAACCCAAAAACCGAAAACCCTAAATCTATTTTCCACCAACAAGGCCGCTGGACTACATCTACCTCAGGACGCTTTGCACTTTTGCTCGGTCTTTGGTCTTCTTAGGCTTAGGGTTTAGGGCTCATAGGGTTTAGGGTTTAGGGTTTATAGGGTTTAGGGTTTATAGGGTTTGGGGTTTATAGGGTTTAGGATTAGGGTGTATAGGGTTTAGGGTTTAGTGGATCCAAAAACCTACCGTTTTAAGGGTCAGACCCTCTAATTCAGTGGTCATAACCTCCATTTTGTAGGGTTTGGGGATACAGGTGAGGCTTCCTCAACCCTAAAGCCTAAGCCCTACACCCCAAACCCTCAACACAAAGCAGCCATGGCCTTGATTTAGGGCTTGGGGTTTAGTCGGATTTTGGGGGTGTTTCGGGTTAAGGGCTTTAAAACCCTCGCCCTGGTTACCCTAAAGCCCAAGGCCACAGACTCCGAACCCAGAACTGCAATCACAAGCCCCTGAACCCTAAATCTTAAACCCTAAAACACTAAAGCCTACACTCCTAAACCCGAACCCCTACACCCTAAGCTGCCCTAAACCAAAAAGCCTAGGGGATTCAGGATTTGGAGCTGGATTGTGAAATGTTTGTGACCGCACCCTAAACCCTAACTGAACTATAGACAGCCTTAGCCTGGGCCTTCGATGCGAAACCCGAAAGCCTCACCCCTACCCCAAAGCCAACCCGGCACCCAGACGCTGGATTGCAGCCCTCGTCGCAGGAGTACCGACCCAGAGCCGTCGATCGTTTACAACATCCTGTCTGCTGCCGATGATCGGAATGCGAAAGTGGAGAGGCCTGCCGGCTGCAGGGGTTGAGGCTTTAGAGGGAGGGACTTTAGGAGTGTAGGAGTCTAGGCTGTGGGGTTTAGAGTAAGGTGCTGGGGGTTTAGGCTCCAGGTGCCTTTCTTGGGGCTTGCGCAGTGTCCTGGGAAATTTAGGAAACACAAGCCTGCTACCTACACCTTCAGACTGTCTGCTAAACTATAGTCCAGGCCTGAGCCCTTCGAGGTCCGAGTTTCGGGTTGAGGCTTGGCTGGTAAAGCTTTGCTCTTTAGCTGGGGAGGCTGGGGGCCTGGGACCCTACTTGGGGTTTAGGGTTTAGGGTTTAGGGTTTAGGGTTTAGGGTTTTGGCGGTGCGCAGTTTGCGTTGATGGAAGCGAGGACTGCAGCTCAATCGTGGCCAACATGGAACAGTAGCACAGCCAGTCAAGGGCTTCGAGAACCCAATTTTTTCCCAAGCCCAAGGTGCCCAGAGCCCATGGAAGCAAGAAGCACTTATTAACCCAAAGCCCCAAGCTCCAAACCCAAAGCCCCAAACCCCAAATCCCAAACCTCCAACCCCGAAGCCTAACCCTAAACCCGAAACCCCAAACCCTAAACCCCAAATCCGAAACCCTAAAACCCTAAAGGCCCTAAACCCTAAACCCTAAAACCCCTAAACCCTAAACCCCAAACCCTAAACCCTAAAACCCCTAAACCCTAAAACCCCCAAACCCTAAACCCTAATACCCCTAAACCCCAAACCCTAAACCCCTAAACCCTAAAACCCTAACCCCTAAACCCCTAAACCCTAAACCCCTGTGACGGGTGTACCGCTAACTATGACGACTACAAGTTCTGAGGATGTTTCACTCAGTTGAGGGCATAATGCCAGCGCCTGTTTGGAAGAAAGAGGCGCAGTTCAGCTTTAAAAAAAAACCCCTAAACCCTAAACCCCTAAACCCTAACCCCCAAACCCGAGAAAACCGAAAGCCTGCCTCGCCGGTCAGGTTGGATAAGCGCCTTGGGCTCTGCGAGAGGTTCTCTTTTGGGCTGGGGTTAGGATGTGGCATTCATCTAAACCTTAGAAGCTGCCTCCACCCTGTAATAGTGGTATAATAGGAATATAATAGGGCCCTAATATAATCCTATATAATCCTTATGGTCACTATTACAGGGTGGGGGCAGCTTCTAATCTAAACCCCACCCCGAAGCCTCCAAGGACCTTCAACCCTGATGTTTTAGAGGATTTGCGACTTGAAGCAAGAGCTCTGATGCGTTGGATTGGCGTTTGTCGCGGGGTTTAGGGCCTAGGGTAGAATAAAATAGGGGGCCTAGGCCCTAAATCCCAAACGCCTAAACTCGAAAATAAGCCCGAGAATGAAACCCTGCGTCCCAGACCCGAATCCGAGATCTTGAGCTCTTTTAGCCTGAGGCCCTCAGCGCTTCAGGGCTTGAGGGGTTTGGGGTTTGGGGGTGTGCATACCAGAAAAATCGCTCCACCAACTATAAGAAGGGTTGGACACACCAGGGCGGCTGACTCGAGAATTCTGCCACACGCTCCAACCAAGCCAAGCATGAACTACATGCGACTGTTCTCGCAAAGTGTCTGACGGGTGCCCTGGTGAAACTCGCAGTCCCCTACCTCAACCCTTAAACATCTGTCTAGAACCCTAAGCTCTAAACCCTTAATCCTTAACCATCCTTAACCCTACACCCTCAACCCTTAACCCTACACCCTAAACCTGTAACCGAATCTGTAACCTGAAATTCAGACCCTAATCCCTTAAGCCGAACCCTAAACCCCTAACCTTAAACTCCAAACCCTACACCCTGAACTCTAAATCCTAAACTCTAAACCGTGAAACTCGCGAAGCCACCCAGGATGTCTCGGGTCTACGCCGAAGCTTTGGCCAACTACCGCGGCCAGAACTTCAAAAAGGCGCTTTTGGTCTCTTACCTCAGAGCGCGGTTTAGTATTTAGGGATTGGGATTTAGGGATTAGGATTTAGGGACTGGGGTTTAGGGATTAGGATTTAGGGATTGGGATTTAGGGATTAGGATTTAGGGACTGGGGTTTAGGGAGTAGGATTTAGGGATTGGGGTTTAGGGATTAGGATTGGGGTATAGGGACTAGGGTTTCTACTGCAACCCCATGATTCAGTCTAGTTCTCTTAGGAAGTGGTTACTTTAGGTAGGAGAGACGTGACTTTCCTGTTGTGAATTGGAGGCTTGTCAAGAGGATCAAGTTATCATCGAGGGTTGCTTGTAGGGTTAATCACTCTGTGCGTAGGAATGTAATTACTGCGTTGACTGCAATCCGCAGACAGGGTTGGTGAAGACAGGTATGATCGGCGAAATCCCTCCAACCAGAGACTCCACGACCTAGAGGGAGTCAAGGAGTAGTTCAGATCACATGTAGAAGTTTGAATGAGCACCAGGGTTGCTTATCATAGGTAAAGAAGTATATTAAGTGTATATCCACCAAAATCTCGTTATATTTGTTAAGGCCCCTTTCTTTGAGATGCCTGACTTGTGGCTCCAGCCGCCCCTAAATACCTTCACCTTTTTCCTGAACCTTGAAGGGCTACAACAAGGGTTCCGATGGACCGTTTACAATTAGAATAGGGTTGCGGGTATACTTTCTTGCATACTTAGATTGAGCTCCAAACCCCGAACCCTTGAACCTAAAGCCCACAGCCCAGTCCCTCAAACCTGCACAGTCCATCGACCCCAACACCTGAATCCCTAGGTGCCGAAATTTGAGGTGAACCCTTTCACACTCCTTAAACACACGGATGAATCCGCGATCAACCTCAACACGACTCCTGCAAGCCCTTAGAAGCCCCTTGTACATCCCTTCTCCAACCCTGTAAAGCCATCTGTACTAAACCCCAAGATAAGTTCTCCACACAGACCCTAAATCCTGCAACCCAGAAGGCTTCAAAACCCCAAACCCTGAACCTTCAAGGCTTCAAAACCCTGAACCCTGACGGCTTCAACAAAGTCCGAGACCCCAAACGCTTCAAAGCTTTGAAGGCCGGCGAGCTCTTCTCCAAGTACATGAAGGCGTCGATCCTCGGCGCTTTACCGTTAAGGGCTCCTTAGAGGATCCCTTGAGGGATCCCTTAAGAGATCCCTTAGAGGATCCCTTAGAGGATCCCTTAAAGGATCCCTTAAAGGATCCCTGAAGGATCTCTTAAAGGATGCTTTTGAGGGTTCCTTAAAGGGTTCCTTCAAGGGTTCCTTGAAGGGTGCCTTTGAGGGTCCTTTTTACGGGGCCTGTTTTTTTGAGAAGGCTTTTGGGCCTGTAAACGGTATGACTGTAGTGGTTGCAGTTTAGGGTTTAAAGGGCGTTCGTTTTTGAACCGGAAGACCGGGTTGAAGCCCCTTTTGGGCTTCGGTTGTAGGCTTAGATTGTTGGGCTTCATAGGGGTTTGGGATGGTCTTGTAGGGTGAGGCGCCGTGTTGGGTATGATTGCAGGGCTGAATGTTTAGGGTTTGGGGAGAGGGTCGGATAGTGTAAAATTCAGGCTTCTGTGGACCTTTGCCTCACAAGCCGGCTTGAAGCCTGTCTGCCAGTCTCCCGAGTGGGTTTGGTTCAGGCTTTTTTTGACACTATTGGCCCATCGCAGAAAGATTTCCAACTATGGTTGTGATTTTTCGTGCGGCGCCGCAACATTTCGAGCATAGGCAGCAGTATAGGGACGCAGGGCTTGATCACATACCAGGGACCAGGGCCGTTAGTTAGCTCGATAACCCAAAACCCAAACCCCAAACCCCTAAATCCCCAAGCTCCACGTCTTAAACCTGCAAAGTTGAATACCAAGTCTTAAACCTTCAACCCTGAATGGGAGACGCTTCACCTTAAGCCCTAAACCCGAAGCCCGAACGCCAAAACCTCCTGATCGACAGCCTCATAAAGAAGCCTCAAGCGAACCGTTCAACAAACCCTTTCATGGACAGGGAGTTCCCCCAAATGACCCTAACAAGGAACCCTAAAACCCTAAACCCTAAATCCTAAATCCTAAGCCTATATCCTAAACCCGAAGTCTGGGCTCTCGAACAGGAGGAGTTCCGGCTAACTTGCATTAAACGGAAGATGGAGTCCATCAACCGAAGTGCAAGAACGGAGCGGTCGGATGATTGGATTCGGGACTCGGTGATGCATCTCTCTTTCAGCCGGCAGGACGATGCGGAGCGCCAGGCTTACCGCACCTTGTGCAAGGACTTCTGTCAGTCCCTGGAAACTGGAGCTGTGAACCAGCAAAACTTGCAACAAGATCTTGCAGTGCCTCGTGTTGAGTTTTTTCGACATGAAGCAGCGAGAGGAATGCCAGTGCTTTGATCGCACGTGCAGCAGCAAGTTTCTCGACAGCGAGAGCCTGGCCGAGATGTCATTCACCCGAGGTATCGATACCAAAACCAAGGCGCTGATGCGGAGCTGCGGAGTCGCTCTAAAGGGGTCACCCAGAGATCCCAATACCCCTTAGTTAAGAGATATACCTTAAATCATAATAATAAGGCTTCTATAATTTAAGGTATATCCCTTAATTAAGGGGTATTGGGTTCTCTGGGCAGCAAAGGTTGGTTTTCTGTCGGAACCTTGAACATGACCCCAATAATCCGCCGACCCCGGTCCCGGTCGGCGCCAGGAGAGGGTCCTTGCCCACCCCCGCGCCAGGCGAGGCTCCTTTTCCCGGTTCCTAACAATTGCTATGTGTCTGTATGCCTGCCCTCGGTTTTTGGACTTCTGGACACGCCCGCGACGCCGCCCTTGCCGCCCCCCCCCCCCCCTTCGGTTTCTGGACACCGCCCGCGACGCCGCTCTTGCCGCCCCCCCCCCCCCCTTCCTGCGGATTCCTACGTCTCCGGACACGCTACCCCCTCGTTGCCACCCCCCTCGCCGCCTTTTATCCTGGCTCTGCACCCTCCCCCCCCTGGCTCTGCACCCCCCCCTGGCTCGCCCACGCCGCTGCCACGCGCGTTGCCGCCCTTTCGGAAGGTTTGGCTTTGCCCCCCCCTCTCTTTGTGCGCGATTCTATCTATATCTGCTGTCTATTTGATTTCTATTCTATTGCTGCTCCAGCACGACCACCCGCCCCACACGCGACACCGCCCCTCCCCAAGCTTTGGCTCTGGACCCCCCCCCCCCCCCCTTGCCTTTGCACCCTCACCCGGACACGCCCACGCCGCTGCCCCAAGGTTTGGCTCTACACTCGCCCCCCTTGTCTTTCTACCCCCCCCAAGGTTTGGCTCTGCACCCGCCCCCCTCCCCCGGCTCTGCACCCCCCCTCGTCTTTCTACTCGCTTCTTTTTGGTTTCTGTTCTTTTGCTGCTCCAGCACGACCACCCGCCCCACGCGCGACGCCGCCCCTCCCCAAGCTTTGGCTCTGCACCCGCCCCCACCCCCTGGCTCTGCACCTCCACCCGGAACGCCCACGCCGCTGCCACGCGCCCTTTCGGCACCTCTTCTTCTTCTCAAGGTTTGGCTTTGCCCCCCCTCAAGGTTTGGCTCTGCACCCGCCCCCCTCCCCCGGCTCTGCCCCCCCCCACCCCCCACACCGCCCCTCCCCAAGCTTTTCTGCACCCCCCCCCCCCCCCCCCCTGCCTTTGCACACCCTACCCCCCGAACTACCCCTACCGCCACCCCCCCAAGGTTTTCTGCTCTCTTCTTTGCACCCTTTCAAGCTCCCCCCCCCCTCCGGCTCTGCACCCCCCCCCCTCTCTTTCTCCGCGATTCTATCTATATCTACTGTCTATTTGATTTCTATTCTATTGCTGCTCGACACCGCCCCTCCCCAGCTTTGGCTCTCCACCCGCCCCCCCCCCCCTTGCCTTTGCACCCTCACCCGCCCCCCTCCCACGGCTCTGCACCCCCCCTCGCTTCTTTTTGGTTTCTGTTCTTTTGCCCGGAACGCCGACGCCGCTGCCACGCGGGACGCCGCCCTTTCGGCACCTCTTCTTCTTCTTCTCAAGGTTTGGCTTTGCCCCCCCCCAAGGTTTTGGCTCTGCACCCGCCCCCCTCCCCCGGCTCTGCACCCCCCCCCCTCTGCACCCGCCGCCCTCCCCCG